AACTGCGCACGGCTACGCTGCGGCAGCAGCTGGTTTACAGTACCCTTTAGCCATTTCCCCTTTAGCCCTATACCTAAGCCAACACCTTGTTCCAGCATGGTGGGGTCTCAGAAAAATACCAAAAAATAAGTAAACGCAGCTTAGCAAATTGTGCGCTGCCAACGACTTGAGTTTTATTTTTATGTTGATGCAAAAACTTTACGTGCTCAAGTTTATTGAGTGGCTGCTGTATATGAAATTTAGTTGGCTGTGCGTGCGTATCTGTAGTGTGTGTGTGCGTGTGTGTGTGTGCCACGTAAATGGGTACAAAAGGGCTAAGCTTGGGTCCATGCTGAGCTAATCAGCAACTGTCTGCAACGACAACGTCGAGTTTGAATGTTAAATAGAAAACAGGATTTGCCCCGGAGGCAACGGGATTTCATCATCAGCTCAAACCTATAGATGGGTCGCATACGATATCCTTTAGATCTTTGCATGAGCAAGTCATCTTTCATGTCAAAGAGTTTTCAGAAGCCAAGGCAAGGGTTGACTAAAAACGCACCCACGTCACACCAATAGTAGGCAAAGCTAAGGCCATGCCCAAATTATATTTAAACTTTAATATTTAAGCTTTAATCATTTTTAATTTTTACTTTGTTTTTCTTTTTATTCTTGGCGAATTGCATCCGTTGCAATGTTCGTCATCAGATCACTTGGGCTGTCCTTACTTTGCATATTCAGTTTATGGTGAAAAGTCGTAAAATCGTAATACCAGATGGCAGCCAAAGTAAAAGTCTTGACTGCGGGCGATTCAATTTTTAATGAAGCCAACGCAGCGAGCACCAGCCACGCCCTTGCGGCCATAAAATGAAATGGAAAATTGCCGCCAAGGGGCTAACAGCTGGCAAAAGAAAGACCAAAAATGTTGCATCACACTTTAACGAACCTAGCAGCAGGCATTAGGCAAAACTAAAACCAAAGTGGGCCAAAAGCCGCACGCATGTACCGCACTGCAATACCTTCAACTGGCAACTGTTTCAACACCAAGATCCGAAGCTAAGAAACTAAGTGCCAACACTGGCTGCCAAATTTAACTTCTCTTTTAACTTCGTGCTGTCAATGGCTAACCTCACGAATTCACACATTTAAACATTTAGATCGTTTTCAAGTCATACATCAAGTTTATGTCCTTTATGTCGACCTCTCACATGACATTGTCATTGTCATTGTCATTGTCATTGTCATTGTCATTGTCATTGTCATTGTCATTGTCATTGTCATTGTCATTGTCATTGTCATTGTCATTGTCATTGTCATTGTCATTGTCATTGTCATTGTCATTGTCATTGTCATTGTCATTTTCATTGTCATTGTCATTGTCATTGTCATGGTCATTGTCATTGTCATTGTCATTGTCATTGTCATTGTCATTGTCATTGTCATTGTCATTGTCATTGTCATTGTCATTGTCATTGTCATTGTCATTGTCATTGTCATTGTCATTGTCATTGTCATTGTCATTGTCATTGTCATTGTCATTGTCATTGTCATTGTCATTGTCATTGTCATTGTCATTGTCATTGTCATTGTCATTGTCATTGTCATTGTCATTGTCATTGTCATTGTCATTGTCATTGTCATTGTCATTGTCATTGTCATTGTCATTGTCATTGTCATTGTCATTGTCATTGTCATTGTCATTGTCATTGTCATTGTCATTGTCATTGTCATTGTCATTGTCATTGTCATTGTCATTGTCATTGTCATTGTCATTGTCATTGTCATTGTCATTGTCATTGTCATTGTCATTGTCATTGTCATTGTCATTGTCATTGTCATTGTCATTGTCATTGTCATTGTCATTGTCATTGTCATTGTCATTGTCATTGTCATTGTCATTGTCATTGTCATTGTCATTGTCATTGTCATTGTCATTGTCATTGTCATTGTCATTGTCATTGTCATTGTCATTGTCATTGTCATTGTCATTGTCATTGTCATTGTCATTGTCATTGTCATTGTCATTGTCATTGTCATTGTCATTGTCATTGTCATTGTCATTGTCATTGTCATTGTCATTGTCATTGTCATTGTCATTGTCATTGTCATTGTCATTGTCATTGTCATTGTCATTGTCATTGTCATTGTCATTGTCATTGTCATTGTCATTGTCATTGTCATTGTCATTGTCATTGTCATTGTCATTGTCATTGTCATTGTCATTGTCATTGTCATTGTCATTGTCATTGTCATTGTCATTGTCATTGTCATTGTCATTGTCATTGTCATTGTCATTGTCATTGTCATTGTCATTGTCATTGTCATTGCATTGTCATTGTCATTGTCATTGTCATTGTCATTGTCATTGTCATTGTCATTGTCATTGTCATTGTCATTGTCATTGTCATTGTCATTGTCATTGTCATTGTCATTGTCATTGTCATTGTCATTGTCATTGTCATTGTCATTGTCATTGTCATTGTCATTGTCATTGTCATTGTCATTGTCATTGTCATTGTCATTGTCATTGTCATTGTCATTGTCATTGTCATTGTCATTGTCATTGTCATTGTCATTGTCATTGTCATTGTCATTGTCATTGTCATTGTCATTGTCATTGTCACCATTTCCATTACCACTCTCATCTTGATCGTTGGTTACAGACTTCATATGTTTTATGTCAGGATTTGGCTAAATTGAATCAGACCACATTTCAAATTCGCAAGATGTTTGCCAATTAATAAATACATCAGGCACAGACATACAGTTATGTGTGTGCTCTATAGCAATATATAAGAGGCTTAAATACTTTTAATTAGAGCTCGTTCAATTTGGAAGTTTCTGCCGTATTTGGCCCACGTTTTTGCGAGAACTCAAAAAACAAATATTAAATAACTGAATGGATTCGAGCACGTGTATAGACAACCGACAAGACACCAATCCACACACGCACGCACAGAGCTACAATTAAGTTTCCATATTTTTGTTCTCTTATCAGCGTGTGTGTGTGTGTGTCGTACGTGCGCATCTATAGCTGTGTGCGTTTAAGTGTTTGCCTACAACTACATTAACACTTTTTGGCTTTGACTTGATTTGCACAAAGCAGATGAGATGCTGCTGTTTGTCTAGCGCCCTCTTTTGTTTGGAACATTTAAATGAGAAAACTTTTATCTAGCTTCCCTTTTCCTTCCCGCACCCTTACATTCGAATACCTATCACTCCTACCCCAACACACATTTATATATATGTATGTATAGAGAGAGAGAGAGAGAGACTCTTTTACCCATAACATCTAAGAGTGAACTTAACAGTCAAATGACGCACGTTGGTCCAGGCACATCACAAAATACTTGTATTTACCCAAAAAAAAAGTCAAGTAAAAGCGATTTTTGTTTTTGTTGTTTGTTTGCTTTTCTGAACTGTACAAGTTACACACTCACACACACACACACACGCACACACGGGCAAGTTATATGACTTTTTATTGACAAAATGACAGCATTATGTGGCTAGCATTCACATAATGATACTATACTACGATTAAAGGACACTGCATATTTTGCTATACCCTGTAAAACATAAAAATCTTAGTCTATTAGTCCGGTTATAATACAATTATTATACATTATAATTGAAGTTCAGAGATCCATTAAAATGAAAAATTCAATTACAAATTTGAGCTGGACTTTGCAGTGAAGCTCATCAGCTCTGACTCTAACAAATAAATTATTAATCTGACAGATTAGATTTTCTTTCTTTTCTTTACTCAATGAGCATGAGTTCATTATCATGTTGCACTTGTATGCTTATCTTTATTATAAGCGTTCTATGGGTTATTTGTAAGCCAGGTACATTCATTGTTTGGATTTTTGCTTTCATATGATTTCAATCTTATGATTTCTAGACTTAAACAAACCGCAAATCATTGTGCAAATGAAGAGCTTTGTTAAAAGCATTAACTACAGATGTGTATATAAATATAAAAATATGGCATACCTTAGCTGAAGCCTACCTGCAATGAAAGATGAAGGAAAAGTATTCATTGTATGCCCTGAACCTATTGGAAATGTGCAGATTCGCTGTACTTAATATAGGGATTCTATGTATTTGCTGCTTTGGATTCCTTGTACTAATTCCTGCTAGATAAAAAAGTTAGTTAGTCAACAATTGAGTTCGCTATAGGAAAATCTGTCAACTCATCTCAAGCGCAGCCCAAGCTAAGTTCAAGCTCAGCTCCAGCTCAGTTACTCCGTAAGCAGAGCGCATGTGTGTGTGTATGTGTTACCGCTTATGCATGTATAAGAGAGGGCTAGAATGAATAGAGTATCAGCTCAGCGTGGAGTCAGGGTGTATCTAAGTCGGTCACTCTCGCCTAGCACACTCTTACTTTTGCTGCTCTCCTCTACTTTTTGCTTTGGCTCACTTTAGGTCGAGTTACATAGTTGAATGTAAGCAAGAGTAAAGTTGCTGTCATCGGCAGCACATAAAAAACTTTAAGCAACAAAATCGCATAAACTGTTGTTAAGTGAAAGTGCGATAAATCAATTTGTAATTGGGGCAAGTTTTGCCTGTTTGGCCTGCTTGGCCCCCGCTTGGCACCCGCTTGGCACCCGCTTGTCTATGCGCCAGGATAACATACAGCCCGGCGACTTAACCCAAGTATGTTATGTGTATATGTTGGCCAATACATATGTGATTTTGTCGAGGGTTTTGGCGAGCTTTGCCAACATCTATGGACAATCGGACAAGTTTGAGGAGACTGCGTGTTGTTATGGTGATAAAATTACATTTTGCAGCCTTTCATTTTTGTTTTATTTCTTTTCGGTCAACAGCTTAAGCTTGTCTCTGCTGGACTTCGACACAAATCCCTCTCAAAACACAAGCAAAACATCTTGAATATATATATATATATACATATATATTTATATATGTGTGGCATAAGTGTAGAAGCATTAAGGATTAAGCATTTATTATACACACAGAGATCTTAAGAGCTTGTTTTTGCTTGCTTTTACTTACAGCTGGATTTGCAATTACAAGACGAAGCTGGCGGCGATATTTCTAGTTTCATAACCAACGGCGAATGGGACTTGTTAGGTGAGCTTAATTTGGAAAAAACCATTGCGATTCAATTCTATTAAGTATATCTAACAAGCCCACACACACAACTAAAGCCTGAATAAATAAGTAAATTGTAAAAACAGCAAAAAAACAAAGAGAAAAAAAAACAAATTTAGCATAAATAATTTCTTAACTAATTTACTAATTAATGACTATCAATAATTCTCATTCTCTCTTCTGCATATGCTCATCTCATTTGCACCAACAATCAACAACAACAACAACTTTAACAACTCCAACAACTACAACCACATCAAAATTAAAAAAAAAAAACTAAAACCCAAACGATCAGGTGTGCCCGGTAAACGTAATGAAATCTACTATAATTGCTGCCCAGAACCTTATATTGACATAACATTCGCCATTTTGATACGACGCAAAACTTTATACTATTTTTTCAATTTGATTGTGCCGTGCGTGTTGATCGCATCGATGGCACTGCTAGGGTTTACACTGCCACCAGATTCTGGTGAGAAGCTATCGCTTGGTAAGTGTCCGTTCATCACCTAACAACAAATAAAAACACCAATCCAAACCAAACAAACAAACAAACAACAAAACTCAACGCAACTGATATTTCCCTCAACTAAATCGTACTCTTTAGCACATGTTCCAAAAGTGTTTCGATCTTTAATTGTTGACAAGTTTTCTGTAGGATTTCTATGCATGCTCTCTAAATCAAATGTAAAAACACACACACACACATATATGTATATTTATATATATATATATATATATTTATATTTATATATTTATTGTGAAACGGAAGCCCATTCGCTATAAGAGGCTGCCAGCAGTAGGACACAAGTTGACTGCCAACACACATACACACATTACGTATACGCCGCGTAGAGCCTTGACTAACTATGCAAATGCAATGCAATCCAATGGCCCACGGCAATGGCAACAACTCTGCCAGCAAACAAACAAAGCGCACGAGTGTTGCAAGTGCAAAAAAAAAAAAAAAAAAAAAAAAAAAAAAACAAAAAAAAACGCAGCCGTCACCATCATTTGTAATCAAAGTCAACGCTGGCAAAAGTGAAAAATATGGCACAACTGCTGGCCCACCTTTCAGCTGGAGAATAGGACGCAAATGCAGGACGACAGCCGACGACAGACGACGAACGACGGACAGCAAATGAGCACAGAGCCTTGAACCCTTGAACCTCGCTCGGCAGCCTCTCCTAGTTAACCATGTCAAGCAACGCAACTCAAATACAAATATTTACAATCAACTCACATATATATATATATAACTTTATAGATATATATATATATAGTTTTGCTGCTGCCTAATGCATTCAGCCTGTGCCTTTGTGCCATTGATAATACCACAAAGAGAAAGCTCTTTGGGCTTGATTTATGCATTTGATCTGTGCTCAATAAAAATGCAGCTAAGAGTCTGACAGGGACCAAGGCCATGTTTCAGTCTGAGCTTGATCAATGGCACTGAAGTCATATGAAAAATTTCTTCTATTCTCAAAGCACTTGAAATCTGGTTCAACTGCTTCTTCGCCGTTAAACTGAGCATTCAAACTAACCGAACTTGTTGGCATAGTCGATGCACCTGGTGCAAGTCTAGCCATAATAAAATGTCAAGCTACACACAATAAGCAGCAACTACCAGCTGTTGAATATTTTATTAAATAAAGCAGTGTTAGCAACTCAAAGTTATATAACTCTAAAAGGAGCACACTTCATATGGCTGAAAATAAAAGTTAATCAGAAAATAGGCAAAGCTCCAACGAGCGCCAAACTGTCGGCAAGTGTGACATATACCTTGCATTAGCTTTGAAGAAAGCTCGCTTTTGCTGCAAATAGATATGACTATTATGATCTGTTGATCTATGGTCGCTCTGTTGCCAGCGCGCGCACATTTCTGACAACTGACAAGGCACACCCACGCGCACATTAAGCTGAGAAAGTTATGCGAAAATGTGGCAAAATGCTTTGCAGCTCATATCCTGAGCATGTGCCACTAACCAACAGGCAGGCACACACACGCCGACTGGCAAAGAGACAGACAGACATTGGCCATGGTTCTATGGCTATGGCTGTCGCTGGAGCTCATCACGTACTTTCAACATGCAGCATATGGTGCATGCCAAAATTTATACAATACAGCTATACAAAAATACTTATATAAGTATGCTAGATATAAATATATCGCGTTTATGAGCAAGAGCAGCAAAAGTTTTGCTTGCAGCTGCTAGAAAACAACAAAAAAGAAAAAGAAAACAAAAAAAATTGCCATATTTTAAAAATTGTTCACAGCGAACCAAGCGCCAGCGCCAGCGCCAGCCCCAGCATGGCATATGTGTGCGAGTGTGTGTGTGTAGCAAAACGCATTAGAGCTGCCAGCCATGGCTCATGCATAATAGACAAGTTTGCGTAAAACCCTGTGGCTAATTTATGTTTGCCCGACACTTTTGGCGGCTCCTGCCGCCGCCTCGCCTGCCGCCCAACCAGCTGACTTTTCACATAATTTATATAACCTCAAAAGAGCAAGAGCATAAAATATGCACAGGACACACAAAAATAAATATATAAAAATATAGAAAAAAAAAGTGGAACAACAAATCTTTGATAACGCTAAGCACTCAACTGACAAACGCCAGCTGCCCCAAAGAAAACCCCAAGCAAAACCATAAATAATGATAACTTCCATAAGGTGCCGCAGGGCAATGACAAATGTGTGTATGTGTGTGTGTCTGTGTGTGTGTGTCCTTTGTGTTTTTTTTTTTTTTGTATTGAAAACTAGTTTTGTGACGTTAGAAACAGCGAAATTGATACTTTAACTGTTGACGGACTTCCCGAGGTTCAGCGCAGAGAATACGGTAGTAGTTTTTTATTCACCAAGTGGGACAATTATATCACATATGTGTATGCATCCATGCATATATATCAACGCATCCTTGCATCAATGCAGCAACGAGCAGCAACGCAGGAGCAGCAGGCGGGATCAGCTGGAACACATTTCTAGTTTGGCAACTCTAGCGATTCAGTTTTAATCTAATGAATAATAATAATAATAATAATGCTATCTTTCTTTCTCTATCACAATTGCTCTCTCTCTCTCTTCCTCTCTTTCTCTATCTTTTCTTTCTCTTTGCGAATGCACCTCTCTATAACATACACACACACACACACACACACTCACACTCACACACACACACACACCTTGATACCTGGACGTTCAATAATTTTGTGCTGCATACTTGCAGGAGTTACTATTTTACTATCGCTCACAGTCTTCCTGAATATGGTTGCGGAAACAATGCCAGCTACATCCGATGCTGTGCCGCTGTTGGGTAAGTAGATGCAGCGCCATCTGGCGTTCGCCGCTGGCTAATTGCCATGGGAGCCCTCTCTGTCTCCCGCTCGCTCTATCGCTGACTTCAAATTAACGCACATTCAGCTCAGCTCAACAAGAACAACTACTACAACAACAACAACAACAATAACTGCTACTACTACTACTGCTATTTTAATAAGAACAACAACAACAACTAATCAGCTAAGATTTTTACCTTCCGCACAGCCTCGAAAATTGCCGCCACAGTCTTCACGTTTTTGTAAACAAATTTTCTGCATTTTTTCCATATTTCTTTTTTCACTCATTTCAACATGTTTTTATTAGTTTACGTCAAGGTTTCTTTTTATTTTCAATGGGTGCAAAAGAGGCTGCTTACAGTGTGCGCTGCCAGTATGCACACAAATAGTCGACTGGAGGCTGCCTGTTAGCTGACCTACACAGATGATCTAGCTACATATCTCTCTATATTTTTGAACAGTGTATGCTACTAGTAGTAACTCTTTTTTTAAATTTATTTTCAAGCTAAGCTCATACCATTATATGTATAATAATATAATATTTTAATAAGCGCTTCAGCATTGCTAGCAATGCTTTTTGACAGTATGATCAAATTTTGAACGACTCGCCGCAATGAGCTTTCTAAGTCTTCCTCAATATGGCGACTAAATTCTCTTGACTTCGTATCAATATACATCTAAATGGTGACTTAAGATTCCAAAAACTATACTTATGCAAAAAAAAAAGTGATTTTAAAATTTATTTCCAGTAATTTGATTACCATTTTAAATGGCAAATATTCTAGAATATTTCACATAGATTTAATATGACTAATAATCAAATGGCTAATATTGCTTAATATTTAAAAAATCAAACATAATCGATTACTTGCACAGCTGCGGAAATATAGCTATCGGAAATAGTATCACTCTTGCCTGGTCACGCGTCAAATTGCAAGCCTCGTCAGGCAGTCGGACGAGCTGTGTTGGCGAGATTAACTTTGTTCTTTAGTCACGTAGATATGGACATGCCTTATGGGCATGTCATCTTCACACTCTGCAGCTGCTGCTTAAATTGTCCTAGGCCAGATCAAATGCGAAAAGTTTCAATTAACACTCAATAAAGAGAGAGAAAAAAAAGAAAGCAGCAAACCAACAAGAATATTAAATAACATGAGCTGAGCTCCCGCTGCGTATTAATTTGTCTGGAGACAATGAAATCAAAGCTAGGCACAGATTTGCGGCGTCATTAGTTTCAAATTTTGAAGTTTTTCCAGTTCCTTTTTGATGGCCATAAACACGTACAATAAATTGCCTCGTTTCGAGTTGCATGCGGCAGCAACACGCGCACCTTCGCACCAGGGGAGAGAAGTTTTGCGCAGCGATGTTTTAGTGTCTAGTTTCTGGTATTTGTTTGCACTTTGTTTTCTTAATATTTCATTTAATGGCCGGCAAATGGAGCTGATGGCAATGGCAATGGGGACACGCGCGCTTTGGCGCTCCTTGAGGGGGCGCTGTGATTTAAACGTTTTCATAAACTTTGAAAATTTATGCGCCGCACACATCTCAAACTTATCCGAATCACGTGCATATAACTATATATATAGTATATATATATAGTACGGCACGAAATACCCAACTTCTTGTAGACACACGGCTAGTCGGAGCTGCAACGCATTAAAAAGCATTCAGCAAAGTGAAATAAATATTAAGTTAGATTTAGAGTTAACAAAGGCAGCACGTAACACAGTGCCTATTAAAAGTATCTGAACAATAGCAACACATATCATTCGAATACAATAATACCGAATTGAACTCAATGAACTAGCTCGAGTTAGTCCAAATTCGAATTGGCTGAAGAAGCGATATACAAGCTATTGCTAGTCGCAATGCAAATTTAACTCAAGTCACTATCAATTAGTTAGTCCACATCAATTAGTAGTTCTAACTGCATATACTGTGTGTTTGTGTGTATGTGTGTGGGTGCGTGAGTGTGTGTGTGTGTCTTTAGTCTATTTCAGTTATATATACTTATACACCTACCTAGCATCATATGAATATATAGTTCATTTTAGTTCACTAGAATCTAGTTCCTCCCACTCACATTTCACACTCATTTTCGACTCACTAGTTCAAGTTTGATTCGAATGAACGTCCTAAGCCTTAAAGAAAAACCTATAGATTCAACGATCAAAGATTAATGTCGAATCTTAGAAGATTCAAACTGAATCTTCGATTGCTGCATCTACAGGTTTATTTTAAGATTTTTCCCAATTTTCGAGAATCTAAAATCTTTTTACTGCAGTCTTGCCAAAATATTTAAGAAAATAAAAATAAAAAAGAATCTATTCAAGTTTCGCTTAAGTACTTCCCAAATCTATAATTCAGAGTAAAAAAACGTTCAATTCAGTTCGAGTTTCAGCTCAGGTTTGCTTAAGATTCAATTCAAAAATATTATTTTCCTAGTTCCGTTTACTCCAATATTATGTGAGATCTATCCCTAATAGAACTAAAGAGTCTTAAAAAATATCAGTTTTCAATATACATTCATGGAATAACTGTCTATGAGCCCATTATCTATATCAATTATTAGACCAGAATATGTACACTTTATGGATGTATGTATGTAAGTGTGTGTGTGTGAATGCTATGATATTGATGTTCTAGGATTATGTTTTATAAATACATATACATATGTAAGCATATATGAATATATGGATGTATGTATAAATATATATGAATGCATGAATGTATGAATGTATGAATGTATGAATGTATGAATGTATGAATGTATGAATGTATGAATGTATGAATGTATGAATGTATGAATGTATGAATGTATGAATGTATGAATGTATGAATGTATGAATGTATGAATGTATGAATGTATGAATGTATGAAATGAATGTATGAATGTATGAATGTATGAATGTATGAATGTATGAATGTATGAATGTATGAATGTATGAATGTATGAATGTATGAATGTATGAATGTATGAATGTATGAATGTATGAATGTATGAATGTATGAATGTATGAATGTATGAATGTATGAATGTATGAATGTATGAATGTATGAATGTATGAATGTATGAATGTATGAGTGTATGAATGTATGAATGTATGAATGCATGAATGTATGAATATATGAATGTATGAATGTATGAATATATGAATGTATGTATGTACACATAGATGTATGTATGTTTGTATGTATATATATATATATGTATGTATGATTGCACATTTATGACTGCATCTATGTATGTATGAACGAATTGATGTATGTATGTATGCACATGCATGCATGATGTGTCTATGTATGTACACATACATATATGTATGTACGTATGTAACTAAATCGACTATGTTGACACCATTTAGTGCTTAGAGAACTAGCAATTAGGTAGACTCACATCAACACAATTAGATTTGATGCGTATTACAACTAACTGAATTCACATATACAAACCGTCCATATCAGTGCCATGCATAGAATAAGTTTTGTGTAACAATAGAGTAAGCATTGGTTGGTTTACTTTAGTACCAATGACAGTAACCAATTGAAGCATGATAATAGCTAAAACCGAAAAACCAACAAGAAATCCATTCAAATACCAAATACTACTAATCCATAATAACAAATATTCAGTGTTCTAATTCTATCATTTGTAGCGTAAATAGTAAGGTAAGTCATGTGTAAGTCATACTAACGATTATTATTGACGAATACGGTCATTACTTACAATTTGCAAAACTTTCAATTGAATTTCGATTAACTGAAGATTTCAACATTTCAGATAAAAACCTTCATCCATTTACGCATGCCAGGCCCCCCCATATACATACCTGTATTTAGTTCACTTAACATTTAGTACAACATTGCACAGATTTTCAATAAGTATGTATGCATTACACACACACACATACACACACACACACACACACACCACAGTTGCAGACATCAAACTCATCATCTATACACACAGACGTATTAATTAAATTGAACACTTATCAAACGTAGTTGAGTATTTTTGAATATCGTATTTTGAATATCGTATTTTATATATATTTTATCGTATCGAGGACTGGTATGGCAATCAAACTCACAGCATGCACTCTGGACCTTTCGATAGACAAACTCCTGTATTTGGTAAATCGAAATCAGTTGCCAAAAAAATAAACAAAAAAAATAATTGAAAAAACAAAAAAAAGGCCAGATTCATGAGTCGGGAGTCGAGAGAGTCGTATATTAGGCAACTCTGCCAAGTTTCTGCTTCCTTAAGTATATATCTCTCTCTAAGTATATATATATATATAAATTCATATATCTCATATATATATTTATATATATGTATAACTGTATATTTTATTTACAACTTGTGTAGAGCCTTGTTTTTCGATTCTGTGATTTATATTTTGGATTCTATGCGTACAACGAGTGGCTCGCATTATTAATGCCAGTGTCAGATATATATTTTGCCAAGGACCACTACCACATAATGTAAAAGAAAAAACGTTCTTGTTGGCATGCAAGAACACAAATGCCTATAAGCTGTTGACATGAGCCCCGCCCCCGCCCCCCAACCACGTTCCGTCCTGTTCCGTGACAAGCACAAGCACACACAAACACTTACAGACACAGGCGACACACACACAAACACACACACCCACACTGAATATAAACAATTGATGAATACTATCTCATATAATTTTGTATTGCACATTCATAGACAGGCAATGCATATGAATACGAATGTGAATGAAAAATTGAATATGAATATGAATATATGAATGGAGAACATTTCTGTATTGAATGGGAACTGTGAAACGGGGGCGTAACGGCAATGTCAACCTCAAACTCAACCGCAAACTCAAACTCAATGTCAGCACAGAGGCCGCTATCAAATTGGAGCTAGAGCTAAGCGCCAGCTGGTCACACTTGCCCACAAACACACACACACACACACACACACACACACACACGTACACGCACACATACATACACACCAAATGGGAACAGCAATGTAAATATCTATTGAAACAATTTTAATGTCCGTGATAAATTTATATAAGCTAAAAACAAATTTGAAATTGATTCCAAACTAAATTCTCGTCTGTCTCTTGCTTTATTTCACTCTCTCTCTCTCTCTCACACACACGCTCTACCCCTCTCTCTTTTTCTCTCTCTCTCTCCTGTCTCTCTCTCTCTCTCTGTCTCACGCTCTGTTTTTATATATATGTATATGTATGTATATATAATTTATGCTATGTCTGTATCTGTTTTGCATGTGAAATTGCAAAATTTGAATTGTTTTTTTGGTAGGGGGAGCAAAGCGTTCTCTGATATTGTGTGGTGCAAAGGGCAACGGGATCAGTGGATCAGTGGATCAGCTATTGTAAATATGTATAGATATGTCTATGTATATATGTTCTCTCGCGCGCTTTACATACGTATGTGTACATATTTGTCTTATCAATTTTTATGCTTTTTATTCACGTATTTTGATTTTTTAACAACAAAAATTGGTTTTAGTTTCGTGAAGTAGTGTGGTAGCAACTCTCTCTCTCTCTCTTTCTCACTATCTATCTCTCTCTCTCTCTGCCTCTCTCTATCTCTTGTTGTTTATATACCCCAAAATACCTAATACAAAATTATTGCTAACTGCATATCACATGTTTTAATATATGTTTAATGGTGTTTCGCTTCTTCATACATCCACACATACACCCACACACACACACATACATCATTGTATCATACACAATTAGCTGAAAACGAAGAAGAAGAACAACAACAAACACTTGTAAATAAAACACATGAAATATATATATATTTTTTTTTGTTTGTTCCAATGGATGCCTTTAGCATACATACTTACATACATGCATATGCATATGTATGTACATATATATACATATGTCGTAGACTCGTACATGTGTAGGTACGTATGTGTGGCTTGTATGCGAACATTAAGGTAATTCCATGAATATCTAATATATGCATATGCGACTAGTTGCTGTATAAAGAAAAAAACATAAAATATATTAAAAAAAAACCAAAAAAAAACTATTTACATTCATTCATATGCTTAAAGCGCCTTTTAACCTACAATTATGTAGTGCAGTGTATGGGACCCAAACCGCAAAATAAAAAAAAAAAAAAAACAAAACAAAATAAAATATATTATGTAAAGCAAAAATCTTAATTCATATGCACAGTGAAAAGGCAAATAAATCGTTGTTTTTTTGTTTTACTTTTTTCATTAGTTTAGCCCTTAAATCATATGTAAATAGTCGATGAGAAAAAGCAAAACATTTTCTATTATTTTGATTTACTTATTTTTGGCGCTGCTCACTGTGCATAACCTAAATAAATGCTATTAAATAGTGTAAGCTAAATATGTATATGTAAATCCAAAGCAGTCAAAAAAAAATCAAAAAAATCTTATTGCAACGCACTGATCCAGACAATAACTCAACCAACCAGTTCCATTTCCTATTTAATTGCCATTTTTGTACAAAAGATACTAAAATACTAAACTACTAAAATACTAACAAGCACAAGTACAACAACAATAACCAGAATACCAAACCAAACCAAACCAAACCAAACACCTTTGCCCACGACCCACGTCTTTCATCAATTTACAGCTCAACAATAATGAGGAACCAAATCAGATCTCGATTTTTAACTAAAAATGATGATTGCGGATAATTGGTTGTGCACAAAAAGCGACAGCAAAAAAAGTACCCAAGGGCAGCGAAACTCAAAACAAAAACAACAAAAAAATACCCAAAAAAAAAGAATACTAAAATAAATACTGAGCTAGAAAACAATTGTAAGTTGAGACCCAATCAAACGCGCGGCTCGGTTCAAAAGTCACAGCTCCTTTGGTTCAAAGGAACCGACTCACTCTTGAATCGGGCCGCAAGTTTGCAGCGGCAAATGGGGAAAAGGGGGCGAAAGGGAAACATTCAGCTAATATCTAAGCAGCACAGAGCTTTTCCAATTTACTTAAACTTATCTCTTATACTCTCTCTATATATATATATATATATATCTATATCTATATATATAATGTTTATGTCGGCGAGGCGTACACCTGTAAAATAACTCGAACTCTCTCACTGAAACTAAAAAAATCTTAAAGAAATTTTTTAAATATATACATACATAAATGTTAATATATATACTACTACTACTACTACTACTACTGCTACTACTACTAACTAACTTTTTTAATATACTGCTTTGAACTTTTTCTCTAACTCTTACTTCCACTTGCCACAAGTTACGTTTTAGTAAGCATTACGAAAGTACTGAACAACAACAAGCAACGCAAAATAACTATAGGCTATTGTTGTTGTTGTCTTTCGATAAAAACCAAATACGATGCGAACCGTTTTTGTATATATTTATATATATGCATAGATCAGCAAGCAATTGAAGCGTGTACAAAGTTTTTTACTTAAACAAACCAACACAAGAACAACAGTAAAACACACACACACACGCACATACACACATGCAAGGAAAATAAATGAAAAGAATTGCTTAACGATAAACGATAACAACCGATAACCGATAACCGATCTACGCTCAAAATCAGGGCAAGGGGCGATAGGTGTTATTATTGAAGATCAAAAAGCGAAAACAAAATTGAAAAAAAATCCCAAAAATAAAATAAAAACAAATATCTAGCTTAGAATGAGCGTAAAGCGAATTCGCCAAAAATCGATATATTACCACAATGTTTGTGTAATTTTTGTGTCCTTCTAGGAACTTATTTCAATTGCATTATGTTTATGGTGGCCTCATCAGTTGTGTCAACCATACTTATCCTCAATTATCATCATAGAAATCCAGATACGCATGAAATGAGTGAATGGGTAATATTTATATTTAAACTAAACTAAACTTAACTAACTTACTTGCTAACTACTTACTACTTACTTACTTATTTATAAAAAAAAACCAAAAAGAAGAAGAAGAGAAACAAGCTATTTCCTACCTTCTTTTTTCTCTTATGTTTTCTTCTCTACATTTACATAAGTTCGTTTCGTATTTATTTCCTACTCTGAGATACGTTTTCAATTTGCCTTTGTTTGAAATATAAAAATCATTTCAACAGAAAAACACAATTTTTTTTCGAAATGCCAATAACCAGATTCAAAACATCCAAAATACTCCACAAACACTTACAGTCCCCATACAGCCCCATTGTATATACTACTTATGCCCACACAATTATCTTATGCCTTACCGAACATCGACTATCAAATACACTTGCATACATATTTACTTACAGTTCATATGCATAAACTAGTTCTTCTTATACTTTTACACTATGCTGCATGCAAAATACATTTGCAACTCATACAAAATCGAAAGAAAAGAATTTTAAAAAAATTAATAAAATCGATTTACATATACGACAGATATTTACAAGAAATTGAATTTGTTACTAAAAAATATAATAATAATTTTAAAAATATATTTAAACTTGAATTTCTCATAAAAGAAATAATAATAATAATTTTTAAAATATGTCTTTAAATAAACATATATTTATAATATAAAATTTGAATGACTATTTTATGTGGCATATACAATTTCAATTTCACAACTTAATTTAAAAATTTTAGATTAAAAATATTAGTTTAAAGTTTTAAATTTTAAATAAAAAAATTTTATTGAAAACATATATTTAAATTTTAAAAAAATTTTCAATTATTAACTAAAAAAAATTAAAATTTTAAATATTTAAATAACCTAATATAACCAAAATTTAAAACTTTTAAATTCCAAATCGTTCATTTATATTTTTAAACTTGAAATTAAAAAAATAAATTTAATTAAAACCAAATATTTAAGTTTTATATTTTTAAATTCAAAAAAATTTTTAAACTTTAACAAAAAGATGTTTAATAAAATAACATTCTTAATAAAATAAAATTTAAATAAAATAAAAACTTACCTAAAAAAGATTTTAATTCTTGAATTAAATTAAAAATTTAAACAAAAAATATATTTTAAATTTAAATAAAATTGTTTAATTAAACAACATTTAAAATTATTAAATTATTACATCAAATTTTTTTATTGAAATTTATATTAGAAAACAGTCAAACTTAACAGAGATCTAAAAATTAAAACAAAATTCATTTTCGCAATAAGTTAAAAATACAAGCTTGATTCCTTTAAAGTAAATAAAAGAATTAATTTGAAAATACCATAAATATTGCATAAACTCACATATCTATATCTATATTTGCCCAATTTTTTGTGAAACTTCCATTCCAAAGTGCATATATATACATATATATATATATATATATATATATATACATATATGCTAAGCAAATAGCTTTTGATTTTGTTTACTGTTATGCTGAGACTTATTTTCTTCTGAATAACTTATATTAATTGCATACTTACATATTCGAGAACCAAAGCACAATAATCACACCGAATTTTTATTTCTCTAACAAATACTCTGGCCAACTACAACAATAACAACTACTACAACAACAACAACAACAACTACGTTAACTGGCAACTCGCAATGCAAACAAAAACTCTACTCTACAACTCAAATGCCTCTTCAACTGTTTCTTTTTCTCCTCTGTAACTAACTAACTAACTAACTAACTATGCAACTAACTATCGCAAAACTGAAAAAAAATAATAATAATTAAATAAAAATAAACAAATTTTTACATATATTTATAACAACTACTTCAAATGTGGCCAACACTCGCGTGTGCTGTTGCTATCTTATACCAACACACTCTGAACAACACTCTTAACAACAACAACAACTACTACAACAATAATAACAACAACCAAAACTCTTCTAAACCAAAAAACATAAATAAAATAAAATAATGAAACTTTATAATAATAAAAAAAATCTCTTTGAAACGTTAACAATTTGTCTTAAATCTATAAACAAAAACTTAAATGAAAACAAATCAAACTCTCATTGAACATATATATATATATATAATTTTATACATATATATATATATATTTGTTATATTGCGTGTCACGTTACAACTTCTCACTTCATTTGACTTAAACTCTAATCTAATAACTAAAAAAACAAAACCAAAAAAAAAATGCTTAAAAATACAAAACAAAACCCAAATTTAAAAACTAAAAAAAAAATACTATTTATACCGCAAAAAAAACCAAAATATACTTATTGCTATTATTTTTAACCGCATTACCCAACAAACACCCCGTCTCTCTGTCGAACTCGCACACACAGATAAGAGTAATATTCCTTTATTGGTTACCTTGCATATTGCGCATGCAAAGACCCGGACAGGTCGGCTACGAATGCCCGCCGCCGCCCTCGTCGTCGGGCTCCTCGACAGCTGGTGACAAAAAGCAACAGATCCAAAACGTTGAGCTCAAGGAAAGGTAACAGAAATTTCCGCTTTTCTCCACTCACTCTCAATGTCAATCTCTAGCTAGAACTGCCTGACTAGCTGATCGATCTGATGATTGATCGATATCATTTATAATCAACATAAGTGATTCAGTTAATTGATCTATTTAACACTCTACTCCATTATAATATACCAACCCACACTCATATAGATCCTCTAAATCGCTGCTCGCCAACGTTCTCGACATCGATGACGACTTTCGTTGCAATCATCGCTGCACCAGCGCCACGTTGCCCCATCAGCCCACGTACTACAGGACAATGTTCAGGTAAAGTTCGATCGATTTGTTTTATAGGACTATACGAGCAGTTATATTCCCTACACATAAATATTACCTAGAGTGGTAGGTCATTCTATTTATTAGATTAATTCCATTAGCTTAATATGCATTAAAGGAATACCCCTTATGGAAGCGCTAAAACTCAAGATCAAGATCCTAACTGTGTAAAAAGTCAAGAATTTACGAAATAAATAGTTTGTAAAAGCTATATAAGAAGCTGCTTACGAGAATTTATAGCTTTTGAGCGATCTTTCACCGAAATCGATATTTATCGATATGTGAAAAATGTCTAAATTTCCCCCTCTAATACATGGGTGAAATGGAAGGGAATTTTCGGTCTTTGAGGACATATACTATATATGCATAGACCCAACTGAATCTTACGTGTTTCACAAATTGATTAATCCCAGTCTTAAATAGAAAAACTATAGATAATATATATATAAATCATTTCTAGTCATTGAAAATATCTGATCAAAATGATGAGCTGGCCGTCTATTCCTCGTCAATCTGTTCATATATCCCTAGATATAAATACATCTATTCTAGAACCTAGACAGATTCGTCATTCTTCTGTAGTGTCCACTATAGCACGCACAGATCAATTTTAGGAAGCAAGTATTGAGGATGGCAAGGCCGAAGATATTATTCAAATGAAAATCGGACTGGGTAAATCCTAGTCGGACACTGCCTACGCGAGCGCCCTCACTAAGTATACACTAAGTAAACAACGCGCAGCGCTTGCTACATATCTGCCTAAGTTGATAAAGAGCAACAAATATATATAAATTTTTTATTACACAAGTTATAGCTCGACTTATGCTAAGCTCCACGCTGCTATTAAAACGCACTTGTTTAAAAATGAAAATGAAAAGAAAATAATAGAAAATGACAATAAGCAGAAAAGCTTGAACAAGACACATCCGCAGTCGCATTCAGCAAGCCTCAAATGACAGTCAATGACAATGACAATGACAATGACAAGATGTGTGCTCCTCAACAACAACGAAACAAAGCAAAATACACATACAAAAAAAAAAATAAAGCCTTAGAAAATAGTGGCAAGTGGCAAGGACACGCATTTAGTGACAAGCAAAACGCACAAATGCGACGACTAAGAAAAAGAAAATAAATAAAAAAAACACACACACAGAGAGAGAAATACATTCGTAATAGAAAACGCTTGAGCAGGAAGATGAACATCCACTGGCACGTGGCTCAGGCTCGGGCTCAGGCTCAGCTGCTCAGCAGCTCAGCAGCTTTCACATGTCCTCTCGCACAATAGCCCATTGAATTGGGTCAATAAACCAACAGTCACAATTACGTTGTCCTTTAAAATATTGAGTTGAGTTGGGTTCGGCTGGATGCCATCGATAGCAAAATCCAGTTCCATTTGCTGCGTCACTGGCTCAATTTTGAATACAGATTTATATAGCTGAAATCGTTCTTAGATTTTTGGCAGCTAGACAAATTGATTTTGCCAATGCCTAAAATAGGCTTTAGTGCACTTAAAGCTGTCTAGGCTCTTCGAGCTTCCTTTCTTCATTCTATAATTAGCCCAGTTTGTCACATGTCTATATGTTTCTGGTTCAGCTGCAGCCACTACTATTTTAATGAACAACTAAATCGGAATTATTACGATATTTGTTAATCTTAATACTCGCTAAAATATTTTATTTATCACTAAGTTTTGTGGTCGAGCACTTAGTGCTCAGTCGCACTACTATTTTTATGATCAAGTCTCTATATACATAAATCTATAAAATATTGATAAAACTATTGCAATGAGTGCTCTGTGCAGGCAAGGCGACGATGGCAGCGTGGGTCCAGTCGGGCCCGTCGGTCCCGTGGGTCCTGTCGCACCTGTGCCCGATTCTCGCATGCATGAGGCCATTTCCCACACCTGTCTCAGCTCCTCGGCGGAATATGAACTGGCGCTGATACTCAAGGAACTGCGCTGGATAACCGATCAGGTGCGTAATATGATAACAAATGCAATTCAGCCTAAGTCCATGGACAAAATCTAATCTGGCAGCTCAAGAAAGAGGACGAGACCGGCGACATAACGCGCGACTGGAAGTTTGCCGCAATGGTTGTAGATCGTTTGTGCCTTATTATTTTCACGCTCTTCACAATTATAGCCACGCTGGCTGTGCTCTTCTCGGCCCCGCATTTCATTGTAAGTGCGAAGAGAAAGCGTTTGACGGCCCTCACTGATCATTTCTGTGCCTCTTTCAGTTCCCATAAACGATTCACTCTGACGGTCTACGTAATTGCTTCAGTTTGACGCGAGTCGTACAAAATATTATTTCTACTTTTGTAAAATACTCAGAAGAAAAGAAAATGGCAGAAAAACCAAATACAATTCATGTAAAGAATACATAAACAAATGAATGCTCTTCAAATTCAAGTTCTTTTTAATTCCAATTGCAATTCCTGCATAGATTGTTCAGTTCTTGAATGATATTTATAAATATATATATATATATATATATATATATATATATATATATGTATATATAGTCCAAATAGAATTGAATTGTACGACGCGCTGGTATTGACTTAATAATTTGCCCCGCCCCCAACTGCTGCTGACTTCATCATTTTTTGCATTTCTCGTTTTGGGTTTCTTGTCAAATTACTGTAAAATAATTCATTTCATTTACGGTACGCTCTTGTTTTCATTTTTAGTATGTAAAATAGTGTATACAAATATGTTGCTGTGATAGAAAAACGTATGAACAAAACGTAAACCAGTCACAATAAAATTTCAAATTCAAAGTGAACAAAAAACCAAAACAAAAAAGTCATTTAACAAAATCAACTAAGCACACTTCAGTCGGGCATCATCGACTGCACAATGCACGTTCAGTGGTTGAAGGACAGTTTGAATAGAGCTCAGCCAATCGACTGACTGTCTCTCTATCTCTCTCTCTCTCTCTCTCTCTCATATATGTCTCTCTGTCTGTCTATTTATATGTCTGTCTATCCCTCTGTCTCTCGCTCTCTCACTCTCTCACAATCACACCGTCTGTCTCTCTCTCGCTGCCTGTCTTTCTCTTTGTTTATTTGTAGACTTTCAAAGCTTAAGTCATATCATTTCTAGAATCATTTAAATATATATACATATATATATATATATATATATTTCTTAAATATGCCACGCCCCCTACTAGGCATAGCTGGGCTTGTCATATACAAGTTTCTATACCACACTTTTAGTCTCTTCTTGCCTCAACAATTATAGCAAAGAATTAGTAGTCACGCCTCCAGTGAGCAAAGCACACACAAATCTTAAGACATTTCAAGTCTCTAACGCAAACACGTCCAAACCTATATACTCTCTCTACACCATCTGAACGAGCATGAAAACTACGAGCAAAGGCACACACACACACACATGGAACACGCTTCGTTTCCGTTCTGCTTTTAATTGAATTTATTTTGGAAAATAAATCATATATTTGGATTCACGTTAAAGTTAAGAATCTTGGCTTATTAGCACGACAAATTGGCATTGGCTTGGCACAAAGCAAAATAACAAATTTGACTTAAGCAATCTGTTTATGTATTTCTATCGAGTAAAGCTTCTTCTGCATAGGTAACTTCTTCTGTTCTTGACTTTTTTCAAAACATTTTCGAAACAATTTTGAGAGCTCAAAAAAGAATTTGTTAACAAATAAAAAAACAAGAAAAGAAAATGAAAACAAATCGAGTTGAAATTGTTTAACTGAAATACAAAAATAAAAACATGGCCAAAACCACAACAACAATAAAACGAAAAAGACGCAAAGCCAAACTGAAAAGCAGCTAAAAAACAAAAAAAAAACAAAAGAAGAGGAAAAAAAGAATTGTGCAGCACAGCATAAAAGTTTGAGGAAAGCAGTCGAAAGCAAAGTATAAAGTTAACTATTTTTAAATATTATATATATATATACATATATACGAGTAAAATGAAAAGACAAAAGTAAATAAACCAATAAGCATGTAGCATATTAATGCAAATGAAGATTAGATAAAAGAAAAGCTTCTAAAACAAAAAAACAAAAAAAGTTAAAAAAAAAACAAGTTAAAAAAGACAAAAGTAAAATTAAAAATTAAATTAAAATTAATTACAGTATTTAGACTAAGTGATAGTTAAAGCATAGAGCAAGCGAGGTTAGTCAAATATACATATGACAAATACATAAGTTATAAACTAAAATATTGATAAAAAAAAAACCGAAGAGGAAAATAAATTTTTAAACGAAATTTCAACAAAGAACAGCAAAAAGTTAACAGCAAATTCGTGCGTAGCGTAAAAGAAAACAGCAAAATGTATTTAATTACAGAAATACCCTACATAAAAAAAAAACAAAATTAATGAAACAAACTAACACTCACATACACACATTTATATGTATTTTATTTTGCATAAAGCTTACAGAACAAGCCATAAAAAGAATAATACACATAATTATTAAAATAAGCTGCATAACTATAGCAGGAACACCCCTCATGCGAGAAGCCAATACAATTACGCTGTAAACGAATTATAATTTCTTGTGTCACATTGACATGCTTCTTATTAACAAACATTATACAATTAGTATATTTATATATATTAGCATTAGCTTTAGATCAGGGCATTATCATACACTTAGCGAAACAAAAACCAAAAAAAAGCAAAAACAATAAAATATATATAAATCATTTTTTTTTGTGGTGTTTAGCGTGATAAGATTTTATAGTGTATGCAACTTACACACACACACATACACACACACATAAATATCAATGATACACACACACACACAGCTACAATAGTACACCAAGCAGCTGCTAAGGGCTATGCACAAAAGCAAAGGTCTTCCTTAATCTTAACAGCAACAAACGTTAAAAGCAAAAATATTAAATCAAACAACTAAATAAACTACGTACTTAACTAAAACTAAACACGCAAAAGCTAAAACAAAAAAGAAAAAAAAACAAAAAACTTTAAATTAAAAAATCAAAAAACAAAAAACAAATTGCATGAATATTTAACTAACTATTTGAACTCAACTGTTTTTAAACTAAAACAAACATGAAATATATGCATATATATATCTATATATGCAAACAATTATATACATATATATGTATGCTATTTACATAACTGTTAGCCGTCTGTAAGCCATAGAGCGGAGCTTTTAGCGTCGTCTAGCGACTGCACATAAAGCTCTGCCATAAAAAAGCAGCCATAAAACTGTTCTTTTCCTTGTCGTAGCTGTTCGGCCAACTGGCACAAAAAGCTCACGTGCCATAAAACTGTGTTCTTTTTGGTCTAAAGCTTGCGCAGTCCAAAAGTGCAAGTAGAGCTTCAGCGCTTGTAATGGTAAAAGACAAGAGAGCGCAGCTGTTTAATAAACTTTGAGAACTTTCAGTTGTGCCTTTTCCGATTGCTTTTGAAATCTTATTTTATTTTATATATTATTTGACTATATATTTTATTACACTATAGCTTTATATTTTATTAACAATTTTTTTAAATATGTTATAGTATATTATTTTTAGTTTTAAAATTATTATTTATTTTTCATATATATATAAATATTTATTATTTTTATATTTTATTCTATATTTTTTTATTTTATATTTTATTTTTTTGTTTTCAATTTTATCTTATATATTTAAAAATATTTTTTTATTGTTTATTATCAATCTATAATTTTTTTAAATCAATTGATTCATTTATGGTTGGTTTAGGGTTATATATATTAAAAAAAAATTAGAATGCAATACTGTATAAAAAATATATAATTTTTTAATAATTAATCCTTTTAATAAATAAATAAATCTTGTCTAATGGAAATATTTATGAAATACTTAAAAAAAACTATTAATTTAATGCCAAGTTAAAACAATTCGGGTTGGTTCATTTGTATATTTTTTTAAAGGCAAATACTTGTCATATTTTCAGTGTTGAGGTATTATTTTTCGTGCTCATAGTATATTTGTAGCTATGCTCATGCTTTTTGCCTCAGCAAATGGACTTTTCGCAAGCTTTCCTAAGACCCAGCTCGACGGCTAACATCTGAACTTATCTTATAACTACTTGTTAAACAAACATTTCAAATGCTTTAAATACGCACTTAAACTAAAGCTAAAACTTAAATAAAACGAAAAACTAAAAAATACAAATAAATAAATAAATTAACGAAAAACTTAAACAAACTTTAACTACATTTTGCTTAAATACTAAAGCCAATTAATGACTAATTGCATTCAGGCTACTGCGAATTTACTACCAAAAGCAAGTTAAAAATGAATCTTTAAATAAAAATTAAATTTAAAACAAAAAAAAACAACAATTAAAAAATGCAAATCTGAAGCCAAACAGAATCAATAAAAAGAAGAAGATGAAGAACAACAACAACAGCAAATAAAGGGTAATTTTTTCCTCGTAGTATTTCCACAAAACACTTTTGTTGTACAATTGATTTAGTTGAAACTAATTGAGATAAGTTATTTAAAGTTTTATATGAAATGTAACAAAAAAAGAACTCAAATAATCGTTTTTGATGAACTTTTTTTCTAGTCTGAAGTACATTTTAAATATATGTATGTATTAGTAATGTGAATGGTTTCATGCACACACATAAAGTATTCAGTATTTTTAAATATATAAATCAAAAAACAAAAAACAAAGAAAGTTAAGGCAAAACCAGTTTCACACCAATTGATGAAGCGCAGAAGGAGAAACAATAGAAAAATAAAGCAAAAATTGGTTTTCGAATTTCTCGAAATCTTTAGTCAGTTTTCAATTCAATTTCTCCTCTTTTCGAACAGCTTACGAAGTAACCTTCGTATACATATTACGAGTGTGTATAGGACAATCGCCCGAAATAATATGAACTAAATATCATTTTGACAATAGTGAAACCAAGAGCAGAAAACGATTATGGAACTACTTCTAATCCTATATACATGTAGTGAGTAAATCAAATGATTTCGTCTCTCTCTCTCTCTCTCTGTCTCTCTCTTGATATTTTCGAATGATTTGAATTTAGAAACAAAAAAGAAAACTCTAATGGCATCTATGAGTATACTCAATGAGCACCTCAACTTTATTCGGTTTCCAACTAAAGAAAAAACAAAACTAAATCTATGAATATGAATCAAGTCTAGTGCTACATATATATGAAAGGACGGACAAATTGAACTTGCTTTACTTTTAGTATTGTCACAGAGACTTGTAGAAGCTGCACTCTCGCTCACAGGCACCGGCTTAACTATACGTGTACCTATACCTATACTTATCTATATAATACCTAATACGATCTGTCGATCTAGAACACGCTTTGCTTCACACACACACAGACACATACACACACACATATCTGTAGGTAAACATGTTCTGAATGCAGCATAAGGCAGCAAGTAATACCCATTCAAGATTTAGTTATACATATATATATATATATATATATATATATATGTTTTGTCGGATTCTCTTTGTTCTTTTCTTAAGATTCGAGTTCTTGGCATGTTATAATCCACACTTGAAATAAATAGAAATATACTAAAACGTTGGTGTAAAGCAAATATCTAAACTAAAACTTTAAGATGACATACACTCACACTCACACTCACACACAATCCCACACACACACAGACAGACAGTCGAAATGTATATAGTATTGGTGTGTGTTTTTTTTCGTGATGAGTTAGAGTTAAGCATTAGTCTAGGCCGCCTACAGGACAAGTGTATTAGCTCTAAGGCAACTTAATCTGAGTAAAAAAAGGAAGAAGAAGAAGAAACGAGTTTGCAAACAATTAAACCTAAGTAAGTACTAAATGAAAACAATAAATAAAGTGGAAAAGCCAAAAGCAAACAGAGAAAACCCAAGTAATTTTAATATACTCACATAGAATATAAACGCAAACATTATAAACAAAGTGGAAATACACTTAAGTAAATACTTAAGCACAGTCGCTCGCTAAGGCAAATAGAAAACCAAAATCTAGTTTAAAAACAATAAACACTTACACGAAATAGACGTAAAAACCCCAAACTTGAATGTTAAATTTAGCAGGCTTTGCGCAACTGAAAGCGAAATATATACCATATATATTTAGCCAGGAATTGAAGCTAGACTCAATCGAATGTTTTTTTCATAAATACCCCGAACTCGGCTTCTAACTAAAGCAATTAACAGAGCTGATCTGGCCATGTCCCCGCGTCCATCCGTTCTCTTGAAGTCTTTGAACTCGTTAACTCCAACAGCAAGAGATTGATAACTTGTGCGAGGTGTGCTCCAAGCAGTTATGCAAGTTTTGTGTTTTCTTAAAAATTAAATAATTATTCCCTTTTCATAAATATCTATTTTGTGAACTACTATGGAATACTCTTAAGATATTATTTGATACAATGCTCAAAGCACTTGAAATCTGAACTTGATTCTCTGCCATGCCTTCTTCATCTCCTCAATCGTTGTCTTCTTCAGTTAAGGGAACAAGAAGTTGCAGTATGATCTGGCCAAAGATTTGATGCAATTTCAAAGTAACCAAGCTTTTTGGCATAAATCGCAATACTTATGGAACAGACCTCGTATACTATCACTACTCAAAAACATAATGATCGAGAATCTTTCAATTTAAAATTCATTTTCAGCTTAAGTTGTACTTGAAGCGAATGAAAGCTAGAAAACTCAAATTTACTTTGTAGGCTTCTTCCAGTATGGGGAGATTCAGTGGAAACGTTTCTTTAAAATTCAAATTAAGAAAAATAGTAAAAATTAAAAAACTTCGGCTGTAGGCAGAGTAAAATAAGCTTAAGTATCTATGTGTGCATATGTGCAAGCAGCCAAGGATGATTGAGAAAACAGCTGGGTCCTGAGCGCTGGGTTCCGGGTATCTGTTAGTCGGACACGCCCGACTAAAACACACTTATTACTTCGTTTTTTTTTTTTGAATCTTCATTTGTTCCTTAATTTTTTTTTACGATAAACAAAAGTTGAGAAACTCTGATCAAATGGATGCTATTGCCACTTAACTGGTCTAGGACAATAAATCGAGACAACAAACAAAATGCCTCAAATTGTAGTGATCCATCTATGAGTTATTCGATTGATGTGCATGAGAACAACATCTTCTAGCGTTCATACAAATCTCAATAAATCAAAAACAAAAAAATATAATTAATTTAAACAAAAGCATATGGTTGTATAATAAAAAGAAAAACAATTAATTACCCAAGCCATTCTCAAGTTAAAATAAAAGTAAAAAAAAACAATTTTTTTTAGAATGCAAAAGTCAGAAAACAAAACTCAAAACGAAAATTAAAAGAAAAGAAATAATTAATAAAAACTAAAATACACAAAGAAAAATTATTAAAACAAGTGAAGACAACACTTAGGCAAAAAAAAAAAAAATAAAACACAATAAATTAAAAAAAACTTACATACACGCATTAATAAATTTAAAATTTAAATAAAAAACTAAATGAAAGCAAAGCAAAGAAAATATAAAACTAAAAATAAAAAGAAAAAACAATTTAAAATGCCAACAACTACTAAAGGGCAAAAATGTTAACTTAGTAAATAAAAAACCCAAAAAAAAAAACAAAAACAAAAACACACAAGAAACGATACAATATGCAATTACATAAAATGTTTTAAACAATAAAAAAAATTAAAATAAAGAATGCAGATCCATATGGAATTCAATAAATAAATGCAATATGTTCGTTTTTTTCATTTCTGGGCTCGACTTATTGTACAATATAGATATATTTAGTATTTCACGCATTTCAAACAAAACAAATGGTTTTTATTAACACTAAAATTAAAGGTGCTTAGGGATAGTAGGTCTTCTTGTAGCGACCCTCGCGATTCTTGCGACCGCCGGGCCGCTCCGCCTTCGACACATACTCCTTGTCGTGCTGATCGAGCGTGCGGCGCCAGGGATTGATGTCCCGTTCGAAGTAGCGACGACGCGCCTCCATTGGCCGCGTCTTGTTGTCAATCTTGTATAGCTTCTCCCACATATAGATCTCGGGTAGCTCCAAGTGCCTCGGCCGTTTCGATGCCAAATGCTTGAATGTACGCTCAAGAAATTCGCGTTGCTCCACATTCTCATAGTCGGCGGCGCGACGCAGAGTTGCACCGCCCACATACGGTAACAGCTCGTCCGCAGTGCGCTGAATGCTCGGCGCTCTGATATACAGCTCGAGCAGCTGCCGCAGCGTGTTATCGTTGAAGTCCACGCATTTTCCCTCGCTCGAAATCTCAGCATATAACGGCTGTGGTGCTGTGCCCCGACAGAAGTTAACCCGCGCATTTGTATCCACATGCTGGCCATTAATTAGCAGCGTGTTCAACTGATACTCGTAGAAACTCCATTCACGCCCGTTGGTGATCACAGTCTGTGTGTTTAACGGGTAGGTGAGCTCGTTGAAGGTATTGAAGCCATGGTAGTTAGCCTGAGCCAGCAGCCAGGCATAGGATGATTGAATGGCCAGCGCATGCAGCGCCTCCACGTTGTCGCGTTCGCCACAGGCAGTGGGCCGCAGCTGTAGATGGGCGCGCGACTGAAACGAAAGCATTCCAAAGTTGGGCGCATTAGCGCTGGGCCAATAGCCGGGTACATTAACGGCGTGCTGATATTTCACGCTGTAGCCCAAGGAGCGTGCGTCAAGCTTGAAACGCGGCAGTTGCTGGGCCAGCGTCAAATTTTCGCTCTCCTCTGGAGACTTCCATGTGGGCAGCTGATGGCGGTGGCGCAGCGCCAGGTACGGTTCGCCTGTATATTGCACCGGGCGATCAACACTGTCGTGCGCATCTTCCTTCTGCCATTTGCGGCCCTCTTTCGATTTGACCACATTCTTTGGCGGATCAACGCCACCGACTACCCAGAAGGCCTCATGACGCGGATTGTAGTCAATTTCAACTTCGTTCAGATGAGCATAATCAGCACTGAGCACCTGTAGTGCCGACCGGTTAACCAGCTCAACAATAATTTGCGTAAGCTGCTGTTCGCGTGTGACGGCATCGGGAGGTGTTTCTAGCAATGACAGTTGATGCCTACAAACGTCATTTGGGTTATTTATATTATTGTTAGCAATATATTTCACCTACTTGTAGACATCGTGCGCATATTCCAATGCCTCAATAATATCGGCACGCGCCATCTGCAAAGTCGCCTCCAAGCTATCCTTCGTGCCATCAGGCTTGTCTTGATGCGTAGGCAACTCCTCCAGCACAGTGCGCGTGTAGTGTTGCGTCAGCGGCAAGGCATTGTAAGGCACTTTGGTATCGTTCAAATCCACCACCTTGTAGCCGTAGTAGCGCGGCATATTCACTTTGATCATTTTTTCCTCAACGGTAGGAAGCTGGCGTATCTGCTCGTGCCATTCGCTTGCCGTGTGCTGCTTGCGGCTCTTGTATGAGAGATCCCTTATGATGGGATACTCTGGCTCTGCAGTGTATTCAGCATCAGCCACTACTACCGCTTTGGGCTCCGCTTTAACGGACAGATAGCGGCGGCAAGCGGCATTCAGACGCGCACGTAGCTGCTCTCCACGTCGCAGCGTCAACATTTTTGCCGGTCTACAAATTTAATACAAGACTAATTAAGTAAATAAAGTACTACCAGCAGAGCCAACGAGGTTATGAAATCGAACCGCAGGCAGACCGATAACATTTCCATGTATCAAATCCATCGACGGCTATCGCTGCAACATCGATTACCATCGGCACGAAAACATCGCAAAATGTAGGTGAGTATGCTGCTCTAATTCACTAACACTTTTACATATATTATGCATTGGTGTAAATGTCTAATCTAATATAAATTTTTATCTTATCAAAAAATTTAATGAAAATATTTTTGTATGTATGTACACATTGCTTAGTAGATGCGCATAATTCACTAGCCGATGGTTTGATAATCGATAGAGGTACATGAGGGGTGATCTATACAACCTAAAATTCCAAATAGCAGCAAAAAAATCTTTTTTGATACACTAAATAATTACTTAATCTATACTAATAAAATATATATATTTATTTAAGGTGCGTAGAAAACTGTGCAACAGAACGAAATATCGTTTGAAGTGTACGATTTTGCTCGCTATCTGTGATCAGCGTACCAATTGTAACATGACGATCGCTTTTGTTTTGTTTTTGCACAATATGTTAAGTTGGAAATAAACAAGTATTGGGTGTATTGGATGTATTTAGTGTTATTCCCACATGAGTGTGCTTCCCAAGAAGCCTGTCGGCATTTGTACATTACTTCATCTTGCACTGACCAACCAAAACGCCCACTTCTTATCGACAAAAGGCTACTGTGTTAACTTATCAAAAAACTACAGATATTTATATACACATATATGTATGTATATAATCTCTAACATATAATATTGATACGCTAACTTAATAGACAACGTCACGCGCTCAGCAAACCAAATATCGTGAAGTGGTATGCAAAAAACCATGTCCAATTTGACCACATTGTCAGCAGCTCAAGAACGAACTCGGGAATGGCTCGCCTCACAAGAGGATGAACTTGAATCCTTAGCTGAGTCATCGGTGGTGGATAGCTTGGACGATTACAAATACAGTGAGCACACGTTTACTGAACAGGAGGACAACGATGATGATGATGATGACGACGACGTCACTGGCGAAGAAGTCAGCACCATCGCGCTAGGCACACGAGAAGGTGAGTCAAGCACACTTATATACATATATATACGTATATATATATATATATATATTTATAAATTTTTGGCAGGCACTAGCAAAGGTGGCATCATAGGCGACACGCTGCGCGACCTACTTAACTCGATCAATAGCATTCAAACAGTGGGAAATGTCAACATTAGCAACTCCACCAACGTTCACATCGGCAACGTAACCAATATCAATGGCAACATACAGATCATCGCCGAGAATATGAAACATTCTCGCACCACACGCAAGAAACGTCGCAAGGCTTCGATCATCGAGGTGCCCGTGGCAAACGAACAAGAAAATGCAGAAGGAGAGGAACTGGACGAGTCTGAAGAACGCGTCAATGCAGATGTGTTCATTAATAGCCAAAGTAAGCAGAATGAGAAAGAGACAGAGAGAGAATGAGAGAATATGAGAATCACTAACTCAAATATTTTCAGAGTTCAAAATACCCCAAGAGCTGTGCTACATTTTGCCGCGGCACTCCTGGCTAGCCCAAATGCCCATGGAACCGCCCGTCCAGCTGCAACGACCAGTCAAATACGTTGTTATATGTACGTGTGCAAGTGTATATATACAGATTGTATATGTTAGCTATTGTTACTCAAGAGCGAGCCCATAGAGAGTACGCTTAGACATACTTGAATGCATCTCTTTCCAGTTGTAAAGAAAGCATCTGGTCTTATTCTATATATATGCTTATATGTATATATCTTTCTAATCCGTAGTACACACTGCCACCGAGAGCTCCGAGAAGCGTGCGATTAATGTGCGCTTAATACGCGACATACAGGTGAGTAATAAAATAGACTAAGTTTTTACTCAATATTGATTTGGCTAACGCAACGTTTTCCATTTGGGCAGTGTTTTCACATTGAAAGTCGGGGCTGGAATGACATAGCGTACAATTTTCTTATTGGCTGCGATGGCAACATATACGAGGGACGCGGATGGGAAACTGTGGGCGCGCACACATTGGGCTATAACAAGGTGGCTCTGGGCATCAGTTTCATTGGCTGTTTCATGCGCGAGCTCCCCACGCCGCATGCGTTGACCATGTGCCGCAATCTGTTGGCACGCGGCGTCGAGGATGGTCACATAGCCAAAGACTACCGTTTGATCTGTCACTGCCAATGCAACTCAACGGAGAGTCCAGGTCGTCGACTCTTCGAGGAGATACAGACCTGGCCTCATTTCTACAATCTTGCCCAGGATGCTCAATAGTGACGTATTACATGACTTAATTCGAAATCTAAATTCGATATCCTTATACAATTTCGGTGATTGTCTTGGACAAATATTTTTAAGTATTTAAACTGTTTGTTCGTCTCGTGTTTTTCCTGTTTTGTTACTTTCTTTGTGTCCACTAATTTGTGCAATTATATTTCAAAAGAAATACACGACTGTAAAGATGTGTGGCTTTTACAATATATTAGATTATTCGACAGAATTTTTGTTTGTTTTGTTTTCAATTTCTTTTAATTCGTAAATTTTAATTATGGAAACAAGTCAACATTTTGCCTTCGCATCTTGATGGCCGCCAGTTGATTTGGTAACGTCTAGGCAGATTCCGCTTGACGAGCTGTGTAAATGAAATAAACAATTCAATTAGTACAACTTAATACAATTATATTAAAATAGATAGTTAATCACAAAAAAGGCTCAGCTTGCAGTGGGTTAAACAAAGTCCACGATTTTGGAATAGAAAGAGATTTGTAGTCTCTATCTCTTGTCAGGGTATTGAACACATTTAAAAAGTATTAATAAAGAGGCTGGCTAATTAGTATGCGGATGCATCATAACGTGGGTTTCGGGCAACTCAAAAACTTACACCTTGCTACATAACAGACATTTTGTCGTTGAAGCAATTATGCTTTTTCATCTGTAAAGCGCAGAGAAATGAAATGAATATTTAACTAAAAGTCAAAAAAAGAATCGTTTCGGAAAGACTGTCAAGGCCAACAGATGTGTACATAGCTCGCCTTTACATAATGTACTAATGAACTAATCCGTTTTTATTGGCCGGAACTCCTGAGGTGTATAACGGGATCTTCGGCGTCTCGATTTACGATTGCACAACGTTGGTTCGTTCGATTACTTACGTGCAGGTCTGCCGTTGACCCATGGTGTGAACTTCACGTGGGTTTCGTTGCGCTTGGCGGCCTCAGCACGGAGGTCTGCACGGAGGGCATCACGCAGCACACGGGCAGCAATGTTGGAATATTGAATATAGCTGAAAAGGCACGGACATTACATGCGTTCATTAAATTATAGAGCTCTTTTCTCTGATTGGCTTAGTATAGAATGCAGCAAACAACAAATTACGTAACCCACGCAAAAAGAGTACATCGGCATAGATGATGTGCACTTTATAAATTAAGTTTGCTATACTAGAATATATATTACTTACGTAAGTCCAGCAGCTCTCCAGGCGTTGGTCATTTTGATAAATCTTTTTGCAAATTATTCGCACGGAGAAACAAGATTACAGACCTTTACTAGTGCAGGCGCTTTCGGAGTTCCTGATGAGAACTAGAGGTGCTAATACTTAATCGATAATTTAAACTTTCGATCAGCACATTTAAGCAACACTGACAGTTAATTGTATCGATGCTATTTACAATTTGATCTATTCCCATATACTGAATGAATTTCGTTATACATTGAATTTAACTAAATGAATTGATATTAAATGTTTTTGAATTTAGGTTGTTATCTAAATATTATTTGTATCGCATAATACATATTAAGTAGGGAATATCCACATATCTTGTTCGAATATCGATATATCGATACTTTGCAACATTAGCTCCAGAGCTTTGTTTGTGTTGTGTCTCACTTGCTCATGTGGAACAGTTGTTGTTCAATTTAAATCTTTTATTGGGTATACTTAATATCTTTATGATAATTCACAAACCTTTTATAAACAACGAATTGTAACAGCAATAACTGAAAATGTGTACAATGTGCTGTAGTCCATTTATTATGCATATATATCGAATGGATTGTATGGAAAACATGTGCCGCTAACTTCTCCAAAGGTTAAGGTTAAACCAAGCGCATTTATTAATTGCACAACTCTTGCTTAGCCCAGTTGTAGTGCCAAGCATGATGTCTGCCAAGCCACAGATATTAATAATAGAGCCCTTTTTCGGCGGCAGCCACAAGCAGCTCATAGACACATTAGTCGAATGTGAGTATAGAGTCTGATCAGAAACTATATTATTGTTTACTTGTTTTTTAATGAATATTGTTAATAGGTTTAAATCTGGCAGATTATGAGATCTTCAGCTTGCCTGCTAAGAAATGGCATTGGCGTGCTCGCACCTCTGCACTGTATTTCTCGCAGCTGATTCCGCCGGAACACGAGTACAAAGTGCTGCTAACAAGTTCCGTGCTCAATTTGGCCGAGCTCATTGGTGTACGTCCGGATCTGGTTACCTGCAGGAAGATTGTCTATTTCCACGAGAATCAATTGGTCTATCCCGTGCGCGAGGTCAAGGAACGGGATTGTCAATATGGCTTGAATGAGATTCTCACTTGGTAAGCGAGCACGATTCTTATTTGAATTATAGTAATTCCAATTGTAATATCTGTTTCAGCCTTGCTGCAGATGTTGTGCTCTTCAATTCGAACTTCAATCGCATGTCCTTCCTGGACAATGTACAGCCCTTTTTGAACATCCAGCCAGACTTCAAGCTGAAGCACATACGCGAACGCATCGAGAAGAAATGTGAAGTGCTCTATTTTCCCATCAAGTTCCATGCTTTTCCCAACAAGCGTCACATGATGGATGCTGAGCCAAACGCGGAGCCGGATTGCTTGCATTTGATTTGGCCGCATCGCTGGGAACACGACAAAAACCCCAAATTGCTGGTGGAGGTGCTAATGGAGCTGAACAAGCGTCAAGTCGACTTCAAGGTAACAATCTGTGGCGAGAGCTATCAGGCGATACCAGAGGCCTTCGACGGCATACAACAAAAGCTAGGCGCGAAGCTAATTAACTTTGGCCATTTGACGCGCGAGGAGTATGTTAAAGCGCTGCTAACTGGCGACATTGTCATCTCGACAGCTGGCCACGAATTCTACGGCGTGGCCATGCTGGAGGCCACCTACTGCGGCTGCTATCCGATAGCACCCAACAAGCTCGTCTATCCAGAGATCTATCCCAAGGAGAATCTCTACAATACGTCCAACTCCTTAATCAAAATGCTGTACAATTGGTGCCGTAATCCGGAAATCTTTCGCCGGCATCGCGACAAATTCTTCGACTATTTCAACTTCGAACGCTATTCGGCCCAGCACTTGGTGCCCAAGTATATGGAGAAGATGCGTATTACGGTTTAGCGGCGGCCTTAAAAGACATCATTTGTAGCATCGAATTTAGATTTGTAAGAAACGAAAACTTGACCAATTTTTTAGCATACAATAACGGTTTAGATATAGCTGAAATGCCATGTGTGTGTCTAGGGTATATATATAGGTTTTGTAAGCGCCTCACAATTGTTTAAATCCAATTACTTTTTCTTTACTTACATATATTAAAAATATATATTGTTGATTTGAGTGCCAGTTGTTAGCAGCGTATTTTGTTTAGCTGCGTGTTGTTGTCATCAAATATGCATTTAGTTTAGTTGCCTTTTTGTTAATAGTGCTAAGATTGTAATGATTATAAAATGTTTGTTTACCATGAATTGCCTTAAGATATTAACGAATTCCGCATTGTCTCTCTCCTTCGCTGCTTCCCTCTCTTTCTAAACTATGATTTGCACCGGGAGTGAGTTGCTCTATAAAATATTGAGTTTTAATTCATTCACATTATGTACACAGTTAACTATTTTGATCCAGAACTACTTTAAAAGCAGGAAGCACAAAAAGAAAAACAAAAAATAAACGCTTAAACTGAAAATAAAGTAAATTAATGAATAATTAATTAAAACGCCAAAGCACACAACAAGCTATAATGTCTCGAACAGGCTCCACTAGAAGTGATTCTCTTTGAACTTGGGCGGCACGCTGTACTTCTCCTTGACGTGTGCCCGATACTCGTCGTCGTCGTGGCACTCGCGATAGCACTGGGCGCAGAACAGCTCGCCATCGCAGCCTAGGCAACGATAGACGGCATCCTCATCGCATATATTGCACCAAGGCAGCTCCTCGTTGATGCTGCTATTCGCATTGGCCGCGCTGCCACTCCCCAACTCAGCCTCTAAGCCATCAGCAGCTGCGGGCAAGCGCGCCTCAGCCACGTACTGCAAAATGAATCGAAAGTAAATGTGAGTTTGGTATAGTTGTTTAACATAGTCAGACTGAAGCAGACCTTCTTCATTATCTTCTGCAAGACAGTTTCATCGTTCTCATCCTCGTTGTCGCTGGGCGTATTTGTGGCCGCTGTGCTCGTGCCCGTCTCTGTGGCTGCGACACCGTCGATGGGTGCATCGCGCAGAGCACGCAGGCGTCTCTCAATATCACTGATGGCATCGTTACGACCATCATCGACGCGTTGATCCAGCGCCGTTTCGCCCATAAATTGCTGCAGCAGATCTTTGATCTTGTCCTGATCCGTTCTTTGGTCTGTGGACAGCAGTAGATCCTTTTTATCATAATTCTTTTGATGCGGCATGCCGCTCAAATTGGAAAGTCGCGCCCGTATTTCATCATCGGTGGTGTCGACCGCCTTCAAATTCTGCAAACGTTTACTTATTGCACTATCCAGATTCTCATCTATATCCTCGCGACCAGTTGCCGCAGCTGCAGCCACATCGCCAACGGGTGCAGGGCTTGTGGGCGAGAGCACAGCGGCCAGCTCCTCAGAGGGCAGTACATTGCTGCAGTCAGAGAAATAAACACAGTTAGAGCTATTGACATAGACACCGGCTATAGCTACCCACTCGAAGAGCGCATCGGCTGCCTCGCTGTCCGGCGGCGTTTGGTTTTTATGTGGCAGACGCTGCTTGGTCACCAGCTCTCCGGGCAGCGCTTCACAGTCAATGACTTTCTCAGCATCGGCATGGGCCTGCATCTTGGACAGCTTATCGAAGCATATGAGGCAAACGTTGAGCACCTTGCTGCCATGTCGCGGCACAGCAATTGGCCTCTTCAAGCATTTGGCACAGTACGAATAGCCACAGTTGGGGCAACCGTACTGCAATAATTCAATTTGGCTTAAGGTCAAGAAATCAGTGGATTTGCCAGCTCTTACCTCCTTGCAGAAGAGACCATACTTACGGCTGCAGCCGTAACAGCTCATTATGTGTCCACCTTTTAATACAAATAAAAATATGGACAAAACTACGTCTTTTCTCTTTAGAATTTAACTTAGTCTGGAATAACAAGTAAACAAAGACCGTTGACTCACAATGTTTTGTATATCGATGCTACCGATATTTGCCGTTTGCTTTCGTTCAACTCATTATTCAATATTTTAGAATATATTCTGCAATGTTATATTTAATATAAACAGTATATAAAAACAAATGTTAGGCATTTAGTTAGTCTAAACATGTCTATTTGCCCAATTTTAGGTGATTTTCACATTAAGTAAACATGTTTTGCTTATCGATACTATCGATTATTCGTTTAACGGCCTTCCGTGTCATCGCCAGACAGGCGCATTAAATATTTTTATTTAAATTGGAAGATTTTAAATAAACAGAAAGTAAGAATATGTTATATAAAGTGAATCTATACAGTTTATGTTTTCTTTCTTCTTTAATTTCTTTTTCAGATATTAATATTTAAATATATATGATTAGCTCATCATCTACTCAAACTGTTACTCGAGCTTATTTGAGTATTTGAATTCGGTTAGTAATAATTAATCGATTTGAGCATTTAATACAGAAAATGTTTTCATTTATTTATACATATGCCAAAAAAAAAGATAATATTTCCGAGCTTAAGGCAGCTCAACCGAAGTAACTTTTAGCTGCCGCATATTAAACTTTCTCTTAGCTTTTATCACCTAATGCCAAGTGGATTTTTGAAGCTTACTCAAAATTTGTGATGATAAAAATATATGAATATTCTATATATACATATATGTATATATACATAATTTAAAATCTATATATATATATATATATATATATATATTGAAAAGTTTCAGGGAATGTTTTTGTTGTTGGTTTTTTTCTTCAATTAGTTTGGCCTTGAAACTTAATTTGCATATTAAATTGTTATAAATGTATTTATGGATGTACTTGTAATTATCTTTTAGTATAAATGCAAAATACAAAATGTTCATGCGTGTGTCTTCTATATACTTTAATCCTACGAGTGAGTATGGGAAATTATATTATTATGTGTGTAAATATTTATATATATATATATATATATATAAATTTCGAAGCTGTGTAAGTTGGTTAAGGAAACTTGCGTTTGTTTGATTCTTGCTTTGTTGTTTAAGAAACAATAAACCAAAAATTTGATACTCCCGTTCCAATATGGGAGTAAATACTTTCATTGCTGCAGATCAAGCGGTTGGGTTGAGAGTTCTGGATTTCAGTTGTTGTCTTGTTGCTCCTGTTCTTGCTGTTGATTGTTTTCATATTCTTAAAGTTTCTGTGAGAACTATTCGGATGGTGTGAGATCGCGTTCCAGTTCGTTTTCATTGAGTATTTGCGATAGCAAATCGTGCAATGGCTCGAGTATCTTTTTGGCGCCGGTATTGGTCAGACTCTTGTAGTCAAACATATCGTGATGGCTAATGCTGCCGTCCGTATGCACCAGCCCCTTGTCAATGGCCACGGTTTGCACGCGATCCATACCCTTTGTCAGCTCCTTGACCAGCTCATTGATCTCTTTGTTTTTGTCCCGCAACGCATTTGGCTGTTGGCCGCGTGGTAGTAGGGACTGAAAAGATATTACAAATCATATAAAGCTATATATATAAGCGTATATATTTTGATATACTTACTGGCAAAATGATGTAGGCGCCGGGCAGTTTTTCGCGTATCTTGGCCACATTGGTGAGCAGTCCCTCGGCCACTTGTGCGGCGCTGTTGCTCACGTTGTTCGTGCCAACGTGCAGGACAACGATTTTCGGATTGACATTGTCGAGGGTGCCGTTTTCGATGCGCCACAGAACGTGCTCGGTGCGATCTTCACGTATGCTAAAGTTGAGGCAGTGCAGCGGTGCAAAATATTGATTCCAGGTATCTGTGTCCTGCAGCGTTTCGAATATGCAATCGCCCAGGAATATCACGTCCGGATCCTTTTCTCGGCAATCCGATATGAAGCGACGGTGTATGCTGAGCCAGCGTTTGTCGCCGTCAACATCGGGCACAGCTGTGGGCACAGCACAGGGATTCATGTTCCTGTTGTTGTTCTTCCTTCTGTTGTCGTTGCTGTTGTTGTTGCTGTTGCCGTTGCCGTTGCTGTTGTGTTCTTGTATTCAGCATGCGGTGTTCGCTGTTGCAGCAACCTCTAAGCACATACACAAACCTCTTAATGAACTCAGTTGAAAGAGGCAAAGGTGGGTGTTGCTGGGAAAACTTTTCTATTAGTTACTTTTCGCCAAGTGGTTCCTATAGCGAACGCAGATGAAAATAATTGTAACTAAGAGAATAATTGACAACACAAAATAGCGGCGACGATAGTGATGTGCACTCGCTTTTGCCCACGAATCTCAATCATCGTAGAAGAATCGAGAAATAAAAATATCGGTAACTTGTAATAAACGCATCCACTATTTAATTGCCCACATATATATTTTACGTTAAATATTTAAATCAACAAGGAAATATCGATTCAAGATCAAGATATCTATTCAAGATCTATGCAGCCTCCATACATATATGAAGCTCAGCAAGCACAAATTGTATGTTCACCAAATGTTGCATGTGTGTATTTGCTATTCAGTTGTATAGTAGATTATAATCGATGATTACGATTAACAGAGCTAACAAAATAAAAAATAAAATAAATGCAAATCATTATAATTTAAGCTATGCTAAAACAAAATTAAATAAAAAATTGGTATAGCATCGACAGTTGAAAAAAAAATAATACTATCGATACTGAAAGTGTTTGTTGTGCAGCCCTGGCCGCCGCTTGTCACTTTTCCCTGACACCAGTCGAAGGTAGCAGCATTGGTTGTAGGGAGATTGCAATACAATTTTTTAAACAAGTTTTGTTGCATGGAAAGCTGTATTTTTTAAATTAATAAATTAACAAGAGCGCGCCGCGCGAATTGAGCATTATGGACGTAGACCTCAGCCTGGACGAGATAATTGAACGCAAGCGAGTACACAACCCCCCACGGGCCGTCGATAAAAAACTGTAAGTGTTCGAAAGCCAAAAGAAAATGGCGCTGATTCGCTAACATTGGCGTTTTCTCACCGTTCGTTCACAGTCATGCCGTTCAAATGAAGCCGCGTAAGCCGGCGAACAAACCGGGCCTGAACACGCGCTCCTATGACGCCCGCAATAAGATCATCCAAAAGACGCGCGCCAAAATTGTTGATGCACGCGACATACTAAACCAAAATATTCGGGACTCTGGCATCGATGCCCGAAACGTGTTGCTCGAGCGCAAAAAGGAGCGTATGCCGATGCCCCTGCCAATGCCATTGCAGTCTGTACGCTCACCGCCCCGTGGTGTCAGCGGCGGTCTGCACAAGGGTCGATTTGGTCAACGGATTATAACGATGAGCAATCGGCCGGGCGGCGTTATACAAACGCTTTGGGATCCCAAGGAGGAGCGATCTGGCCATGGCGGCTACAAGTCCACCAACTCATCAGCGTCGTATCAATCCAGTCGGCTAAATGCAACCGCTAAACCTTTTGTGCCACGCGGCTACGTGGACTACGACAACATGCAGCAGCTAGAGGATGGTAAGAGAGTGCTGCACATGCTTTGCCACGAATGCCAATTACTCGAGCCATTACTCACATTTCTTTGTTCTTATAGAGGAAATTGCACGAACGCTGCACCTGGGCAGCTACAACAGCCAGCCGCCAGCTGGTCAACGCGCACGCATGGCACATGGCTTCGACAATTATGACTTGGACATGGACGGTGTGGAGATAACATCACCTGGCGGCAGCGCCATGTCCAATGATCCCTTTGCCATATATGAGGCGGCACGCAACCGTGTGGAGCGACCCGCTATGCCCCCTCCACCACTGGGCGGTGGTCATGTAGACAATGTGGATAAGCTGTTCGAGCGACGGCAGCGCAATTTGGTGGCCACTTCCAACTTGCCGGATTCGCTGCGTGCCCGTCTCTTTGGCAGCGAGCCCGATCGCCGGGTATCGCATGGTATATATGCGAATGAGAATGGCAGCTTGCAGTCCAAGGGGCATATGGAGGCGTCAATGATGTCCACGTTGTCCATGCACCAGCGTCGCAGTCCACCAAACATGTCGATGCCATTGCCACTGAGCGTGGTCAACAACAAGCCCGGCTACCGGCTGCTGGTGAGCAATCTGCACGCGAACGTCACCACGGCGGACATTCGTGAGCTATTCAATGACATCGGGCCCATGTACGATGCGCATGTGGTGCGCCCGGGCACCGCCGAGGTGATCTACAAGTCTCTGGAGCACGCTGAAATGGCTGTGGACGCGTATCACCAGCGCGAGTTCGATGGCCAGCCCATGCACTGTGTGCTGGTCAATCCGCACTCCTCCAATCGCTCGGCGCACTCGGTCAGGTGAGTTAAACGAACATTAAGCAGCCACCAACTCTGCAGCGCCTTGACTCAACTCTCTCCACACTAATATTGCAGCTCGCGCACTGTGACCACGAACTCGTCGGGCGTGGAGGTAGACATTGATGCGCTGCACTCAGTGCTCTTCCGGGATCGTTAGTCCCAACCCAGCCAAGATGAACGCACTTTAGGCAATTACAATGCGAACTATTAACCTAGACACATGCATTAAATATCAGCACATTAATCCCGCATCAATCAGTTCTGATAGCCACTCTCTAGATTTAAGCTGTACCTATCTTAATTTGTATGCGTTGGCCACACAGTCACACACCCACCCACCCACTGTCACACTCATTCACACACACACACATATATACTCAAATCGCTCAGTAGTCAAGTTTAAAGCAAGTATTTTCAATATTTCTAATATAATTTTCTGTTTTCATATTACACTTAGCGCTGTCTTTAGCTCCTCTTCTAGATAATGTTCCCGCCTTCCATCTCCTTTTGTCTATTCCCTTCTCACTCACTCCTACTCTCTGTGTATACTCGAAAACATCTAGGAACTAATAAAACTATATACTTGTAGTAACTGGAAAATATACTACAGATAAAATATGTTTTAGTCGAGGTTCTCAGCTGCCGTTCAAATCTGATTAGATTAGATACCATATATACATATATATATATATATATATATAAATATTTTAGTCTGGAAATGAAAAATAAACTTGTATTGTTCTGCGAAATACACAATTTGTAGATCTCTTGTGAATATAGTATGGTATTGCTGTTGAACTTAACTCTTGTCACTTAACTCTTATATTCTATATATATAAAGTTCAGTTTGCTTAGGAATTGGATACCAGGGCTTCTGGTTGGTTCATCGAGATACCAATTAGATTTCGCAGTGCTATGTCGCCTCTGCTGATGGGTTATGAGTCAGTCTAATTGGATTTCGACTTTTTTTTAACTTTGTTGCTTCTTATTCGTTCATGGTATAACTGAACGTTGCTTTTGCGAATCAGTTCAAATGAATAGTTTCGCAGTCCTAGTTGGCAAATTAAATACCAATTAGAGCTTAACATGTTTCCATGTCGCCACTGTAGATTGACTGTTATGACAATCAATGACATTCCAAGTGGATACAAAGTATAGATACTAATAGGACTTCAGAGTGCTGACGCACCAGATCCAATTGGATTTTGAAATAAGACTTACATTTCGTTTCTTTTCTTTCTTTGTTGTTTGTTGTTTCTTGTTTAATATTTATTACATATTACATACAAATGTACAGTAAATATTTTAAGATCGCATAAAATTAATTCATAATAATTAAGTAAAAGAGCGGGATTAAGTCAGCAATTGAAGAGGTGCACAAAAAAAAGTAAAAGAAGATGGAGAGGAAGACGAAGCGAAGTAAGTTGAAACGTTGCTGCCGCCGTCTGTTGCATCTCAATTGTCCCGGATGCCGGTGCCATAGTTGGCGCCGCCGGCACGATTCAACGCCTCGCGGAACAGCTCAATGTCCAGCTCCGCCTCGACACCCGCCTGCAGCTCCACGGCGAAGTTCTGCAAGAGAAAGATGAAGGACGGATATTGAAGTTGACTCCAAGCCGAGCCGAGCCGCGCCCAGTGGCACTTACATTCAGCACGTCCTTGATGAGCGCCTTGTCCGTGGACATCTTGGCGCGCTGTATGACGCCCACCTCCTGGCCGATCCACGTCAGAAAGATGAACTTCTTGCGCTTGGACATCTCGTCGCCCATCTGTATGCGGATGTAGCCGAAGGCGCGCTCCGAGTCGCCGAACTGCTCGCGGAACTGCTCGAAGCACTGACCACGCCCATGCACAATGATCTGCGCGCCATCGAACTTGAAGACCGCCCACTCCGTGTCTGTCAGATCGGAGCGCACGTCCTCGTAGGCCTCCCGGATGGCGTCCTTGTCCAGTGACGTTGCCACCGGCATCTGCAAGCGAAGCAAACGTTAAATTTTCTGTAATGCGGAAGACCAGCCACGCCCCACGCCCAAAGCCCAACGCCCACTCTGTACTTTTCGTTTTCTAATTGGACTCGTGTTGGATGCATTGAAGCATCCGTCAGAGACTTTCGCTTTCGTTTCCGTGCCCAAAGCCAGGCATAATAACAATAGCAACAGCAACAGCAACAGCAATAGCAATAATAATAACAATAACAATAACAATAAAATTGTAAATCAATCACGCCAATGCATTTTGCCTCTTCAAAACTCTTCAATTTGTTCAGCTCGAAATGTTGCATAAATTATAAGCGCGAGTTGCATGACTGAAACGGCCGAAAAGCCATAAATAATTGCTGGCTTTATAAATATTATATATATCCATAAATATATATATATATATGCATATATATATGCCATAATAAGGTTGCATCAAGGAAAGAAGAAGCAGAAACTTCATAGAATTGCGTTTTTGCCTTTTCTGTTTCAATGTTAGCGGAAATTGTTTTCATTCAATTGATAAACTATTCCGGTATATATAAATACTATATATACACATGTATTTTACGTCATCTTCGATCTTAGATAATGACACAAACATGGGCAGAGACGTAGCCAGAGATAATGCCACAACATATTGAAACACCAAACTCTAATTGGATTCGATCCATGTGCGGGCAGAGCTGGAGAAATACTTATTGGAACCCAATCTTTAGCCAACTCTGTCTTCCGCCTTTTGCCACTCGCTTTGTCTCGCTCTCTCTGACAGCTGTATATATCTCTCTATATATATATGTATATATATATATATATATATATATATATATATATATATATATCATATTAATAAAGATAAATGAATAAGCAAATAATTTCATTCGTAAATTTAAAATATATATATAAACTTAATATACATACATATATACAGCATTTTGGATTGATTGAATGCAACGCGCAGCTCCACTGAACGATTTATGCATAAGGGAAATAAATAGCAATAAATAGTTCATATTTTTCACATATTTCGTTATTTATTAATGCTCGTATAGGCGATGCATTAATGTGTTAATTTGCTGGCTGTTGACTTTCAATGGAGACTGTAGTTTTCGATATCGAAAGTGAGCTGCCTGCTTGCTCTTATGTCTCGATTTATTGTTGGACTATCAAGCGCGAATATAGTTTCGATGTCGAAAGCGCAGACCCACATCATATACGCTCGAATAATTCGGGCGAGTTACAGCTACTTTGGAAAGTCATCGAGAGCAGTTTGGGTGACAGCTGATCGGGCGTCTTCAATCGAGATTTATGTATTGTTTTGTTGTATGCGCTCCATTTGAAACAATTTAAGCTTCACAATTTTCAATCAGCAAAGCCGCCGCCAACAACAACGAAGAAAAAATATTACAAAAAAAACGAACGGTCCACAGATAATTTTGTGATGCGCGGCTGGGAAGATGTTGGCAGAGACAAAACAAAGAGTATGAAATATAACAACAAAACTGTCCCCATATGGAGCAGAGCAGAATAAGCAGATGAGTAAGTGCGACAGGGAAAGAGAGAGAGAGAGAGAGAACGGCTGGATCGTAATGCGTTCGTTGACCGAAATTGGTTTTGCGTGTGTGTGTCACTGCGTCAGAGATTGTCTGTGTGTATGAGAAAAATCAATTAGAAAAGCGCAAAATGTGATTCAGAAAAGTGCGCTCTGGAAAGCAGAATTTGTGATACCAATTAGAAAGATGAAAGAATAGAAAATTTTTGCTTCAGCTTTGACTTTCACGACGAAAAACTGTAATCGCTTGATTTGTATTGAATTAATTAAGCAAAAAATCCAAAAATAAATGAGCAGCAAAAATCATGCAAACTGTGTCACTAACACACACACAGCGAGGGGATAGGAGAGAAGTGAAATAAAACCGTTGCCACAATTTGTGCGCTGCCGACAATTTGCAATAGGAAACAGCTAATGCAGAATATGAAGAAGAAGAAGAATCAGTAACAGAAGCTGAGAAAAGATAGAGTTATGCATGTATGTGTATATGGCCAGCTGCCATAATTTCGAGCTAAATTTAACGGCTTTTTGTATTGTGCTTTATTTATTCGTCCGATAAGACATTTCTCTCAACTATCTCGCTGCGAAACTAAATTGGCACACACTCGGGGATGCGACTGTTGACTGGGCGGGGCTGATAACTAATCGTATATGGCCGCAATTACAGCATGTTGCCTTTGCCTCATTTGTTTGTCCTGGGCTCGGCTTTTGGGTGCGGGAGCCTATGCGTATGCGCAAGCGGGTGCAGCAGTGACGCATGTCTGTCTGTCACTCTTTTGCTCTCTGTCTAACGAGTCTTGTGCCTCAGATAAGCCAATGAACACGTGCGCATCGAATTTTGATTTACGCCAGTCCTCACACACGCACATACATGCACACATTCGACTCGCCTATGCTTGCTGCACTTGTTCTTGAGCAATCAGGGATATCAAATAGTTCCAGTTCATTGCAACCAGTTGCTGTTCCCTTGAGTTAATGAGCAAGTGTTCGCCAAGCCGTTCGTGAAAGAAAGTAAGAGTTATCGATACTGGTAATCATATCGGCAAACAGTTATTGATTGCCATCCTTATCGCCGTTACACACACACGCAGAAGTTTGTTGCCAAGTGCATATATGCTTGCATATGTATTATTTAATATATAGATTTGTCTGTAAGCACTTGTTTAATCTTGCATTATGTCGTTATTTTTATCTAATCTTAAGTCGCCAGCCACTGAAGCGATCGCCTGATTCGCTTTAAGTAAATGTATACATGTATATGTAATTCAGGATGTCAGACTAGACTCTCAACTAGACTCGAGTCTGCAGCTGATTATGCTCCATTATATACATATACTCTATGAGCTTAGTCACGCCTCCTACTACGCAGCCAAACCCATATATCCTGTTTAAAATTATTAGCTGCTGACTTAATCGATTCACTTCTTGTTTCATTTGAACTAATGCTGATTTAATAATTTTTTATTGTGAATAAATTTTTAATGCATTTCAGTATATTTTTGCCAGTTTAAGCTAATAATGTTTTTTCTCATGAAACTGTATATATATTTATTAATATCGTTGAAAGCTTGTTTGGAAAAGTTTAAATTAAAAAAAAAAATTTATAAGCATTTTGCAACTAGCAAACGAAAAAGTCGTGCGATGGCCTTTGATAAGGCATGCGATAAAAAATGTACATAAAAATTTATATATCAAATAAATTTATATTAATATCTATGGGTGTTGCTATCAGTAAAGCGCACCATATCGGCAAATTGTTTTAGCCAACATTTTAAATGTGGCCGAAAAAAAGTTATGCAGCAGAAACTAAAAAAAAACTGCTAATGATAGCAGAAATCTATGGGCCACATAGCAGGTGTTGTTACAATAATACATTTGTGTATATACCCACATATACATTCATAACGGATATAATCACTTAATGTTGACTAATGCCATTTCAGATACGCAACGCGCACACAGACAAAATTCCACATAAATCGAATAAAACTTTTTCCAATCTCACACTATGTACGCTCGTGTCTGTGTGTGTGTGCCAGATATTAAAAAAGCAAAAAGAATATGAAGAATTAGAAGTAAAACCTAAGCAGCCGTCTAAGAAAATTATGCGTCTAGTGCGACGGCACAAATATTTGTGCCCATGCATGAATCACAAACTGAGGCACAGGCTGAAACAGGCTCTGGTGCTGCGAATACCCTGTAGGAAACATCTGCTGTGCGAAAGGCGTTCCAAAGTAATAGATACTTTATTTAAAATTTCCCTCTAATTGCAACTCTTCTGTATGACTTGAAATTATGTTTATTATATGTTTATATATATGTTTATTACATATATATGTTTATTATATATTTAAATTTATGTTATAAATTTGTTCAGAAAATAAGTATAATTTTTCATAGTGACTTTGAACAAAGCAATTTTAGAGCTAGATTTCAATATAAGTTTGATTGCTCAATCGACAGGGCAGAGAGTGGAGGAGTGAGGTGCGGCTGGCACATGTGTTTTAGCTTAGCCTTTCTGCGCTGCTGGGCTGTCGAAAACTGTTTTCAACTTTTTTCGAGCATTAAGTTCGAAAACGAAAACCGAAAGAAAAAACAATGCATTGGGTGAATCAGCGGCTCGTTCATTTGCTTCACGACAGGCGGAAGGAGCGTCAAGTGTAGCGTGCGACGAAGGAAGAGGAGGGGATCGGAACGCGTAGGGCATCGGCAGACTGCAAGGCTGTTATTTTTTTGTTTTATTTCTTTTTGTGTGTTGTTTTATGCACTGTATGTATTAATAATTTTGCAGTTTTGCAATGAAACAAAGAAACGTCGTTTATTGATTTGTGTGCGTGACTCATTAGCGAACAACAAGAGAATATTAAAAAAAATATATAGCAGACCAAAATTGGTGCATCAGGAAGCGCAGTCAACTTAACACAAACTCAAAAAGAGGCAATGCGTGTATGAGTGTGGGCTGTGTTATACAATACTGACTTTCAGTTCTAACGGTAATGAAATGAATATCGAATGCAGTTTGTTTGCGGGTGGGTGGCTGGGTTTTGTCTGCTGAAGCTCGTTGCGTAGAGATTTACGATATTCAATATTATTTATTGCCATTGGCATTGATTTGAGGTGTTGCAGCCGCTACTGTGGCATCTGATCGAACGTATTTTCAGTTTCAGTTTTCATGGCTTTTTGTTTGGGTTATTCAATTGAGGTATAACCGTAAATGGTTCGTCTCTATGTTCCGACAGATTAGGAAAGAGAATGTATATACAACATAGATATACATATATTTATATATATATATATATATATATATATATATGCACCCGTTTGCATTGAGCACGCTAATCGACTGCAACTACACTGAAAACAATTGTTTGCAGCTGCTCTCAAAGGAGAAGAAATTGTCGAACTAGTTCCGATTGTGAACATTTTAATCTAACATAAGTTTATGTGAACTTTTCTTAACTTTCATTTTCAGCTTGTGTTTCTTCTGATTTTCGTTGCAGTGTACCAACTGAACAAACGAACAGTTCTCTTTCTCTCTCTCTCTCTCTTTCTCCCTCTCTGTATCTTTCACTGATTAAATTTTGAGTCATGTCGCTTCGATAGCTGCTTAATATAGTAGGTAATTGAACTGCAGCTGGCTGGCGTGTATTTCTGTTTGTGTGTGTGAGTCACAGTGAATCAATCGAATCGCCAAAATGACTCACACACACACTGCCAATGGCCCATATGTCACAGTAGTTGTCAGAAATACTGTTACAGTAGCTAAACAAATTTGATATGGAATCCACTGTAACCGCAACAATTACTCGATACATGCTCGATAAGATTCAGATTTAAAATCTTGACTAAGTGAGGGAGTGAGGGTGTTTATGTGTGTGTGTGTGCATACACATATTTATTAACTGCTATGCGCACAAGTGCGGCGGCAACGGCGACGTCGACTGCGAAGCCGTTGCGCACTTGAACTTGATATGCATATTTGTTGCTGCTGCTGTTGCTGTTGTCTAATATGACCATGCCCACACATACGCCCGCTTATCTACCCCTTTGGCTGCTGCGCTGCATGCGGCATCCGCCCCCGCACTTAAAAGCATAAGCAAGATATTCGTTTTAGCTCTTTTTTCTTGCTTCTTTTTCGTGTTCTTTTGCTGTTCTCTGCTTCTTGTTTTTTTTTTCGTTGTCTGGCACCGGCCTCGGCACCGGCATCGGCACTGGCTTTGCCTTTGCTGTCGCTGCGACTGCGACTGGGGGTACTGGCCCTGGCCCTGGCCGGTTCTTGTGTGTGGAGTCACAGTTATTTAAAGTTCAACACTCAAGCACACATACACATGTACATGCAGACTAACACACGCACACTTGACTTTGGGCTGGGGCTCCAACTATAGCGAGGCTACTTTGCCGGGCTCTTCCCTCTTCCTTTTTGGCCTGCTCTCCAGCTTTTTCGCTCTCCTCTCGCTTCTCTCCTTCTCGCTACGCGCGCTATCTGTTTCTGCAGATTTTCTTTTGCGCTGCTGTTGCTGTTACTGTGTTGTTGCTTAACTGCCCCGTTGTCGCATCTCTTATGAGTCTAATTCTTTTTGTTTCGTCTTGTGCCGCACTTAATATTTTCTTAATACATATACAAGTGTGTGTGTATGTGTATGTGTAAGATTGTGTTAAAAGTATCTCTCACCCTTTTCGGCTTGCTCTCCACAATTTGTTCAACTTCAATGCCGTCTGACATGTTGCTGGCTGGCTGAATGGGATGCTGCGGCTACTGTTGGGTTGCTTCTTCTTCGCTCTGCTCTGCTTTGCTCTGGTGTTGCGGCTGTTGCTGCAACTCTCAAGTGACAGTTCAGGGAATTTTTACCGGCTTGGATTTTGGTGCAAATTTTTGCAACGAAAAATTCAGCGCTTTGAACACAACGCGCAAAGTTCGCAAATGTATAACGACAAGTGTCACGATAAACAACAACAAAAATTAATAAAAAAAATCTACAAATGTATATATACTATATATATATATATATATATATATTACATATGTATATATATTACATTAATAACGAAAACAAAGACAAAAGGCAAAAGGCACAGGCTTTAATCGGGAGTGACCAAAATAGCCGACCGACTCCGTCCGACTCGCACGAATTGTTGCTCACGAATGCGGGCCGGCAGCGCGTGCAACTCCAACGAAGTGGCTGACGCAGAAGCAGCGCCAACCAGCACAAAGCATAACGACGAAAACGAAGCGGGCAGCGCAGTCGGCGAGCGAGCAAGTGGGAGCACCCAGTAAGCCTCCATGACGGCAGTGCGAGTGAGACAGAGTTAAGCAACGGCAACGGCAACGGCGACGGCGCCGTCACCGCATTTGGTTTTATTTTCAGTTTCAGTTTCAGAGTTGAAAGTGCGCGGGCAGCGACGTCGACTGCGCCGTTGACAAAATGTTTGACACCGTTGAGCGCAAGCGCATATGTGTGCGTGTATATCTGATTGTGTGTGTGTGTATGGTGTATGGTTTAGGATGCAAAGCACTGTGCAACATCCCATATATTTATTATACATATGAATGTATTTAATGTTCTTAAAATAAATACACTGCGACAAAATTTCCAGCAGCTTCGTAAAGTTTATGAGTCACAACACTAAGATTCATTAATAATTATATAGATTTAGATATGTAACATTTGGTTTGATAATTGGTAGAGTAATACCTTAAAAAGTTTGGCACGCCCTACACAAACATGTACACGTACACGTACATATATATATAAATAAATATACATATCTGTATATATATATATAAATATATATATGTACATAAATATATATTTTTCAAACTTATCTCTCAAATATAATCAAATATAGTCGGAATTCTATTGAACTTATCTGAGGTTCCACTTAAACATTTTCTGTCAGTATTATGTACGTACATATCTAGTATAAATTTTATAGAAATTATTATCACATTGAATTAGAAACAAACAAATAGCTCTTTATCTTGCAATAGTAATGCTCTAGGCATTTAGCGATAACTGCATATTTATGTTTGTTTCTTGAAAAATTTTTCGAGCATTGATTTATTTAGTTGTTGTTTTTTGTTGGACACTGTACTTAGCTTGGGAAGGACGGCTGGGGCCGGCTGTACCCAATCAACCGGTCGGCCACTAGCCGGTTGAGGTGTAGGCTTAACGGCATCTTCGGCTGGCAATCTGTGCCGCATCAGCCTTGCCTCAGCCTTGGCGAGAACAGCCTAGACCACAGCCGGCTCTCTGCGCCACTGCCAGTGTCGGCAGCTGGGGCACGTTGTAATCAAGTGCGCACGTACTAGTCGACAATGCTTGAATGTGTGTGTTTGTGTGTGCATTACAACTCAGTTCGCATGGGACAGAACGGGACGGCACTGGAGCTTATCCGGTGCAGGGCTTATCGTCTCCAGCGTCATCCACGTCGCTTTATCAGGCGGCAAACAGCGCAAAGTGAATCAAGCAATCAGTTTGCCTGAATTACCCGTTGCTCGGGCAAAATGGCAAAGATGTATTATAGTACGTGAATGTGGATAGTCGTAATATATCCAATCAAATATATGTCCAGACCTACATACATATGTGTCAGACTCACAAATGCATGTGACGAATGACAATTTGAGAGTTTTTTTTATCATTATCATTGTTATTAGCATTGCTATGAATATAACGATTCTCATTTTTAGCAATATTATAATGGGTATCAATCGACTTGACAGGTGAACTCACAGTAGAGACTCTGGTCAAGCAATTGGGAAGTAGCTAAGATGCTTGGACAATGTTCAACGAGAGACAGTCCAAGATGAAGGTATTATTATTATTATTATTATTAATATTATTATTATTATTATTATTATTATTTTTATTATTATTATTATTATTATTATTATTATTATTATTATTTTTATTATTATTATTATTATTATTTTATTATAATTATTATTCTTATTATTATTATTTTTCTTATTATTATTTTTATTATTATTATTATTATTCATATTTTTATTATTATTATTATTTATATTATTATTATTATTCATATTTTTATTATTATAATATTATTATAATATTTTGATTATAATTAATATTATTATATATCCCATCTAGTATATCTAGTTTACTCTAGTTTTATCGTTTTTATGATCATTGATAATATGTATTCAGGGTATATTGGTTTTGCGAAGATGTGTGTACCGGGAAGAATGCCCTAAAATGTAAAATAGTAATGCGCAGATGCCTGTCCGTCCGTCCATTCGTCCGTCTGAGTGCTCGTCCTTACGTCAGAGACCTCGTGAACTATAAAAGCTGGAGACTTGAAATTTTAAAGGTATATTCCTGTAAACCATATTCGATAACTAAGAACATTTCTGTATGATCGATAAAGATTGATAGATTGATTTCGCTTTAAAGTTTGGTAACTTAGGGGCGTCCTTTGCGGATTTTGTATAACTCCCACCCTTCGCTCAAAAACAAGAAGTAGAAGCAGAAGAAGGCCCAGGGCATTCGCCAGTCGTGCACTCCCGACTCCCCTGTTTCAGGCATTATCAGCTATGCCCCCCCGCTAATTGTTTCTTCTTGTTGTATTTAATAGACATGGATATATTGTAATAGATACGAGTAGGCCTATTCGGTCTGTTGACACTCCCAATTTAAGGCAAAGCTGTTTTAGCTTCGGTTATCAAAATATACAATAACGCAGATAAACCACAATCTATTCGCAAACAGTTGGCATAACATTTGCAAAAGCAATAAAACCGAATAAACAGATCAACACACTCAAACAGTTGGCCTAGAAAGTGCGTATAGAAACGGGGAAATGCCGTCATGGAAAACACATATAGGGATATTTTGTGTAGGTAATGCAAAGAAATCGAATTCTGCTTTAGTTCCGAGTTCTGTTTTAAGAACTTGACTCTATGTACTCAACTTTATGTATATATAGTATATATATTTGTATACATATATTTGTATACATAATACCAACTGCAGAGCATATGTTTTCCAGTTAATGCCGTTCTCTGCAATTCTCATACAGTTAAGTTGACTTGTTGCATGTTATAGCCGGCATGTGTATATGTATGTACGTACATACTGTCTTGGTGAAGATATGTAGGCATGTATGTATGGGTATACACATGTGTGTGTGTGTATACAGACATTTGTATATGTCTATGGTATGTATGTGCATGAATATATCTACTTATATGTATGTATGAATATGGGTATGTATGTTTGAATATAAGTACTTATGAATGTATGTAAGTTTATCTAGATGTATGTATGTTGTGTATCTCAGGGAGTATGTACATATAGATGTAGGCATGTAATCAGATACATGCTTGAAGCTATGTAATTATGCATTTATGTACATCTATGTATGTATGTATGTACGTACGTACGTATGTATGTATGTATATATCATAATGTTTATGTATGTGTATATGAATTAATCAATGTATGTACATATAACATCTACCTTTATGTACGTATGTATGCATGTATGCATGCCTACATATCTGCCTCAATGTATCTATGGCTGCTAGAACTAATGTTCGCACGCCTTTGTGTATGTATCTATGTACGTATGCATGTACATATATATTCATGTGCATTTATGTATGTTCATATGTTTCCATTATTTATAGGTGCATATTGAATGAAATTTACATTTTTAAAAATCTCCTTAATGCTATTTGCAGATTTAATTAATCTCACTTGCCAAAGGAAAAGATAATAAAATATTTGAAGCCGCAGCAGAAGCAGTTCCACGAAAATGAAAATTGTAAATGAAACAGAATCAACAAAATGTCCATCATTCAATTTGCAATGATTAAATCAATATGTTGTAAAAAGAAAAAGGAATGCGATTTGTGGGAATTATTTATGAGGCAAATTGTTCGGGGAATAAACGAGGAAACAAACATTTGTTGGTTTATATTTAAGAAAAGAAAAGAGTTTAAAAAAAAACAGATACAACACAATAAATGTGGCCAGAGAAAAAATACAAAATTGAAATGGAAACACGTAAAAGAATATTTGACAGAGAAAAAGAAAACAACAACTTTAAGCCCTGAGAGAGAAACTTTAAACCGATGTCTGAAGGGATGAAAGTTGCACGGTGGAAGGCACCAGCTCGTGCCTTTCAGACGCTGCTAAGTTTTTGATATGCGAAATTGTACTTCAAGTATATAAATGACTTTGGCTTTATTTGGAAAGGAGCTTAAGTGTTCCAAGTTTTTTTTGTCAACGTTCTGTTTCTTTCATTTTGTGCTTGGTGTGGTTAGAACTTTCCAAACAAACATTTAAGTCTTATTGGATAATAGCACAAGAGTTTCATACAACAACTTTCCGCTAGCCTTTACCGTTTGGAGTGTGCTCAATCGGACATTCAGTCAATCAGTCAGGACAAACGACTTCATGACTTTTATGACTTCTCAATCAGTCAGCCTTAGTGTGAAGCTTTCGATGCTGAAGCAACGCAGGCTGTGCCTTGAGAATGAACACGAAACATTAGTCTGTCAGTTGTTTAATAACTTAATGAAGTAATCAATTTTGAAGTCATCAATCAATCAATCAGTAATCTCCTATGTGGTCATTCCATCAGTCAGATAATTAGTGCATCAGCCAGTTAATCACTCAATCAATCAGTTATGGAGTGCAATTAACTAAGTCAATGAGCTTATCAATCAGTCAGTCAATCAATCAGTAGACAACTAGTCAGTTAGTTACTCAATCAATCAATTAACCAGTCAATACTTTTCCGTCAGTCAGCTAATCAATCACCTGAGAGTCAGTCAATCAGCCAGATAATTAGTCAATCAATCAGTCAGTTAATCATTCATTCAATCTATCAGCTAGTGACTTATTCAGTCAGTCAATCAGCCAGATAATTAGTCAATCAATCAGTCAATCGAACAGTCAGCCATTAATCAATCATTTAATTTATCAGTCAGTCTGTCATATCATCAATCAGA